TACTGATAAATCCACAGAACCCCGGTATCTGTATACTGGTTGGGCCCTAAAAATGGTCACAAATTTGATTTTTCAATACCACAATGAAAACAGACTCCGGCATTCATTTGCAATATTTGCAACCACAACAACATGTCCACAATGTCAGAACCTAATCTGAGCCCAAAATGCCTAACTTGATCAGCATCTATCATAAGCCTATGTATCCCAAAAGCCAAAGGTTAGACACACCACCCAGACCAGTGTCCAAAAAGGTACTATCCAAATAAGCACCTTCAAAACAATAGGTTCAACAGTAAGATGCAACTGGACAGGGGGAGACAGACCTACAGACACAACTGCAAAAATAAAATATCTAAATTTATCTCTCAGAGAGCAAGTATGCTTTACATGCTGTGTAGGATATTCTTCAGGTGGTGTTTATCCAGCAGTTAGCAGTCAAATTTTGGACAGCTGATGACCATCTTAGGCTTTGTCAATGGGTGCAAGCCAAACCCATAGGCTGCTATTTTGAGTTCTTTCACATTTTCACAAAACAAGGACAGCTTTTGTGGACCTCTAGGTGCCATTTAGCATATGGTTAGCAACTAACTAAAGAATTCTTTGCTTATCTCCTCTCCTGTTGATGAAGTACAATGAAAAATACTAGTGCTGGCCACTTACATTGTCTACAAGAGTCTTAGCATCACACAACAACAGTGAATTCTGGTTTCAATATTATCTATACAGATCAAGCATTATATCCAAGGTAATCCACTCTATCATTAAATAGTGTCCATACTGCCATGTTGATAGAAATACAGAAGAAATAAAGAAGAAAACAAAGGAAAATAGAAAAGTGAACACAATATATGTCCAGTTTTTAAGATATTTGGGATGTTTATGATATCTCTGGATATTTGAGACATACATGATATCATCATATATTTGGAAAATGTTATGACATTGAATTTTATCAATACTGCCCAGCACTAAAGCATACTAAGAGTAAGCTTAGAGGACCAACAACATAAGGTATGGGGTCAGCATGTACGATTTTAGCTGCAGTCCATCTTTTTAATCCATGTTCCACATCAACACTTTAACAAATAAAACTGTCCAAAAACATACAAATTGAAACAATATAGTCTATCCACATTAGAAAGACCACTGCCAGGTAAGCTATAGCCTATGATTTGAAGCTAAAAAGAAAAGATTAAGCGAGCTGGACCTTTGTGCCTCAGTAATCACCAAAAGATCAAATGCTTTAACAAAAAAGAGGCACTAAAAAGTGAAGTGACAGGCACTTGCAGGTGGAAAACACCTAGGGAACCCGAATAAAACAGTAAATAACTTTATAGCAGAACTAACTTGGTAAACAGAAGTGGCTAGGACAAAGTAGACAGAAGTGAGTAAAGTCTGAAAGTGGAAGGTAGAGAAGAGAGGAGGCCTCACTTTCAGACAGATGGATTAAACCTGTTACACAAATCAATCTTTAAGCTTTCAGATCCCCAAATTAAAAATAAATTTGACACAAGTCAGATTAAAGCCATTTGTAGGACTTAAATAACTGCAAAACCTACTTGACTGACAGGCAAGCTTATTTGTGACATAGCTAGAAAAGGTGCACTAGCATTGTGATTAATTTTTCTATGAAGCATCAAATGTTACCTTGAGCCTTTTATTTTTTTGGGGGGATTTTTGCCCAATTATCTCCCTAATGTGCTCTGATCTGAATCTCTGGCATCATACACCACCACTCAATCTGTGAACAGAAAGGCAAGCACACACTTGCTGCAAGACATATGTCTATCCAGCCACTGCATCTTTTCGAACTGTTCACTCAACGCTCTAGGACAGCTGAATACACTTGGAGGAAAGTGCTGACTGTCCAAGTTTATTTATGTGAGCTGGCAGATGCTCAGAATTGGCCACTGCAGATGAACAGGAGAGAGAAACCATTCTCCACACCCGGAGAGCCGCAAGGTCAGTTGTGCTCTGCTGGAACCTCTGACTGTGGATGGCTGTGCAATCATGAGGATTCATACTTCACTTTCAATGATGTGACATTCGTCTTAGCCAGTCGCACCACTTGGATGCCCTGCATCATGTCACTTTTTCCACCCTAGTGACTGGAAACTCCATATCATCCGTATCATCAGGTACACTACACACTGTAGTGATGGTTCTTTAAGGGTTCTTTAGTAATTTCGAACCATGGACACTTTTGAGAAGGGCTCTATATAGCACCAAAAAGGGTTCTACTGTTGTTACAATGTCAAGCTTGTAACAACAGCAGAACTCTTTTCAAAAAGGTGCTATATAGAACCATATACAACACTACCTCCATCAATCTGAAGAACTTTCTCACGATGAAAAAAGACCCTTTAATCATGCTAAGGCTTTGTTGAGTGTTCATGGTTCTATATAGAACCATTCTGTTTATTAAAGAACCACTGAAAACCATTCTTAAGTGTGAACATAAAAACAGCTTGGCTATGGACCATATATTGAGAAATTTGTGCACAAGAAGTTAAACATCACAGCTATGCCTGTATCTTTTGTTAACGGATTGTTGTTCATTCAAAATGCCAATGATTTACAAAGTTATACTGACATGTTAAATTCATAGTCTTTACAGTTCTTTACAGTTAGGTTGATTTAAATGAATTTAGCTATCATTCCTCAAGCTCTCAGGAGCTGGACATGCTAGTGTTCAAGTAGAGGTCAATGCCAAATACCTGGACTCCTCCAAATTGTAATTAAGCTCTGAAATCACAAAGTGGGCGATACATTCTGAAATGAATGCTCCTTTAAAATAGCTGAATACAAACAAGTGGGTTTAAAAGGTGCACTTGCTCTCTTACGTTAAACATTAACCTAAGATAAATATGGCAAAGCACAACTGAACTGCAGTGAGTACATATATCCAAAATCTCAGCCCTTTAAAATAACATTTGTTTACATTCTTTGCATTCGAACACCAATGTACAGACACACCAAAGTCACTTCAGGAGAACAGAATGTGCAAAGCCACCTCCTAGTCAAGTTTACTGGATTCATTTTCACGTATTCAGTTCATAAGTTAAAAGTATAAACAGGAAAAATTCTGCAACATTCTCTATCAATTTCTACTGTACAAGCTCACCACCAAGCAAAATAACTCGCTTAACTGAGCATGACCAGGTCAAACTTGGTTTAAGATGAGCTGGTAATTAAAAGGCACTGTCAACAGGCTTGTACTCGTAACTTGTCTGTCCACCATCTGCTACCTTGATGACGAAAAATCACAGCCGAGGGGGTTCAAGGCCCCTCCTTCAGCCACGCTCGTGAGTGTTTTTCTCTGGCAGGGTGAACACTGGATAAGCTTTTCTGAGATGACACTGCTACGCTTTTTTGCAGCATTGATATTTGACAATGAGATAACCCCCCCTCCCCGTGACCCAGAAGGATAAGCGACTTGGAAGATGAATGAATGAATGAACAAGATGAATGAGATAAACTAGGCCAAACAGTGGCTGTTATCAGCACAACATATCGCTGCTGTCGGAAGGAAACCTCGTAGCTCTATTTTTGTTTATGTTTTTTAGTTTTTGACATAATTTGAAAATGCCTGTTGTCCTTTACATTGTGTGTAAATTTCATCATGAATGGACAAAAAGAAACAGCCAAAAATGGCTTAGAAGTCTGGTTTACTAACATCAAAAGTAAAGTAGGTTTTTCCTTTTCCTGTAAAGTTATCATTTTGGAGATACGAGGTTTTCTTCCGACAACAGTGATATGCAGGATAGTAACAATCAAGAGTGCAACTATTTCAACAAAGTATTGAAAATGGGGTACTGAAATTTAAAACTATAATTTGCAGTAATATTCACAATGTTATACAACAGATCATTCAAACTGATTCTTAAATTAAGAAAATAAGATGAATCTAAAATGATGTACATCAATACACCCTTATTAACTGTTGACATTCATTCACTTTGTCACAGAGGACATACAAACGACTTTGACACCTGGTGATCTGATGCAGTGGAGGTAGATGGGATATATTCAGATTCCAACTGTTCACTGAGAATACAATCCTGGCACCAGAAATATAATATACACAGACTAGCCATAACATTAAAACCACCTCCTTGTATTTCCATTTTATCAGCTCCACTTACAATATAGGTGCACTTTGTAGTTCTACAATTACAGACTGTAGTCCATCTGTTTCTCTGCATACTTTGTTATCCCCCCTTTACCCTGTTCATCAATGGTCAGGACCCCCATAGCACTGCTACAGAGCAGGTATTATTCAGGTGGTGGATCATTCTCAGCACTGCAGTGACACTGGTGGTGGTGTGTTGGTGTGTGTTGCACTGGTACGAGTGGATCAGACACAGCAGTGATGCTGGAGTTTTTAAATACTGTGTCCACTCAATGTCCACTCTATTAGCCATGCCTGGCTTGTTGGTCCACCTTGCAGATGTTAAGTCAGAGACAGTAGATGATCTGTTGCTGCACAGTTTGTGTTGGTCATCTTCTAGTTCTTCATCAGTGGTCACAGGATGCCCACATGACATTGTTGGCTGGATATTTTTGGCTGGTGGGTTTTTCTCAGTCCAGCAGTGACACTGAGGTATTTAAAAACTACAGCAGCACTGCTGCGTCTGATCCGCTCATACCAGTGCAACACACACTAACACGTCAACATCACGTCAGTGTGACGGCAATGCTGAGAATAACCACCACCCAAGTAATACCTGCTCTGTGGTGGTCCTGTGAGGGTCTAGCAAAGTATGCAGAGAAACAGATGGACTACAGCCTCTAATTATAGAACTACAAAGGGCACCTATGTGGTACTCAGTAAGTGAAGCTGACAAAATGGACAAAGAGTGTAGAAACGAGGAGGTGGTTGTAATGAACTGGCTGGTCGGTGTATATTATATAATAACATCACCAACATGACAGCCCCCAGCGACTGGGACTTAATGAAAGAAAGGAGAAAATCGCATACATTGTGTACGACTTACCTGCTGATAGGACGAATCCTCAGGGCGAAAATCACTGCTGGTTTGCTCGAACTGCAGGTTGAAGTGAGGAAGGCGATGCAGCAAGTTTACCCACCACGGTGGGGAATAATTCACAACGGCAGCCATTCTCACTTACAGTAATGGAAACTAGTCGCAAAACCAAGCAGCTAAATTATATTAGGAGGCTGCAGGGTCGAGATTCCGGCCGACACAGAAATGGCAGCAAACTGCAAACACTCGACACTAGTTAGCCAGGTGGTCTTCAGGGTCATTTGTAGTCAAGTCCAGATCCTCCGATTGTCCTTTCTCATCATCTATAATGAATAATATGCGGCAGCTAGGTACCTACAGAAGATCTAGCATTAACGTTTCATCGCCTTATCGTTTTGTCATCCTGAGCTGCAGTAGCTGTTAAGAGTCCAGTGTTGGTACCAGTAAGCTAGACGTCGGCTTTGTTGCCCACCGTGTCCTTTCGGCTCTGTGGCTCTAACTAGCCAAAACACGCAAACCAGCAGGAGGAAAACGTGAGCCTCAGCCTGGAGAATTGACTTACTTCCTCTGTCTCCACCTCGACTAGCGTCTAGTTTCGAGCTAGCTAGCTAGCGTTGTCTAGCAGCCCGGTTCCTTTATTGTTGTGATACATTAGCCGGCTAGCTAGCTAGCTAGATTAGGTCTAACCTTAATTAATCGGCGGACACAGCAACATGACCTCAAAATGTCAAGCGGCTAAGCTTCACACAAAGAAATCTGCACAAAACCGAATTGCAGTCCCTGCTCTGCTCTTGCTGACAATCACGGTTAGCTGGTTAGCCTGATGAAACCCCTGTGCTCGGTGTTGTTAGCTAGTCATTGAGACGTGCGAGCCGTTTGATCTTCATGTTTGGCCAAGCAACACGACTCAGCCGCTGTGATTCCGTATGTCCCCGTTCATGCTCGAATCGGCTCCCGCTCTGCCTTTTGTTGTACAAGTCCGGCGGATGCAAACTGGCACCCAAACACTTGCGCGTCCGGATCACTCGGTATCTTGACTTCCTATCGATAAACTCGGACGGTAATCCTTCATCCAGTGTGAACGGCACCGACTGATGCCCACACTGCAGAGCTCCAGCCAGCGCCGTATGGAAGATTCAGACTGGGGTTCAGCTGCTGCCTAGTCACAGAGTACAGCGACCTCCGGTGGTGGAACAGAAGTATAGCAGCGCCACTCCATAAATAACTCAGACTTAAAATGAGGTCACACACACACTCACTGAGCACTTTATTATGAACACCTACCTTATACCTACACTCATAGTCCATTTCAACACTTTCTCTTACCAAATAGGTGCCCTTTGTAGTTCTACAATTACAGACTGTAGTCCATCTGTTGCTCTGCATACTTTGTTATCCCACCTTTGCCTCGTTCTTCAATGGTCAGGACCCTCAAACGACCACCACAAAGCAGGTATTATTCGGGTGGTGGATCATTCTCAGCACTGCAGTGACACTGGTGTGGTGGTGGTGTGTTAGTGTGTGTTGCGCTGGTCTGAGTGGATCAGACACAGCAGCGCTGCTGGAGTTTTTAAACACGTAAGTGTCACTGAAGGACTGAGAATAGTCCACCAACCAAAAATATCCAGCCAACAGCATCCTGTGAACAGCATCCTGTGACCACTGATGAAAGATTAGAGGATGACCAACACAAACTGTGCAGCAGCAGATGAGCTATCGTCTCTGACTTTACATCTACAAGGTGGACCAACAAGATAAGAGTGTCTAATAGAGTGGACACAGTGTTTAAAAACTCCAACAGCACTGCTGTGTCTGATCCACTCGTACCAGCGCAACACACACTAACACACCACCACCACGTGTGTATTTGCAGTGCTGAGAATGATCCACTACTCAAATAATACCTGCTCTGTTGTGATCATGCGGGGGGTGCTGACCATCGAAGAACAGGGTGAATGGGGTCTAACAAAGTATGCAGAGAAACAGATGGACTACAGTCTGTAATTGTAGAGCTAAAAAGTGCACCTATATGGTAGGTGGAGCTGATAAAATGGACAATGAGTGTAGATACAAGGTAGGTGTACCTAATAAAGTGCTCAGTGAGCGTAGACGAACATAGACAGCATTTGTGATGTTTTATTTTATTCAAAACGACAAATTATGATATAATGTGGTATCAGCTATTTCTATATGAAATAATAGTTTTAAATTCAGGATCAGCTCTGGGTTTAAATTTTAACCAACATCTTTATCAGCTTCATCACTAAAGTTCCACTAAAATCTAATGCAAAAGGCATCTACTTTAGTACTGTAAACACTTTCAGTTCCACTAAGAAGATTTTCTGAAGAGACCGTCTTTTTCTCTTGATAGCCTACAACTCACTCATGAGTGAAAACCTGTGATGATTTGTTTACTCCGCAGGGAATTACGCCAGTAAATAAATCTAGATTTTCTGTCCTGCGGTCTCGCAAGGCAAAATGTCTTTTATATGTATATAACATACACAACCCCACACTGTGTAAAAATATACATTTTCACTTATGCATCTGAAGGAAAATGAAACTGACATCCTTTTATTTTGCAACAAGTACAGAATATTGCAATCATCTAAAAGCATTCACTGTCCACCCTTGGACAGTCTTTGTTCGACAACTATCCTATAAATTTGGTGATTAAAGGGGAATGTCACCAATTTTGTAAAATGTCTGCATAATTAAATGGTTAGGGTGTAAACAAAGTCATTCAAAGTGGTTTGATGTGAAATGCTCCATTCTAGAAAAAATTACCATGCCACAATTGTTCACAGTGGTGATGATAGGAACCAGATGTTTTAAGAGCTTAATGACTCTAAAAGCTCCCTCACAGAAAGTAATTACACAAAATGGTTCATTTAAAAAAAACATTTTGGCCTTTTTAATGTATTCATGGCAAAGAGGCACATACAGGGCATTGTGATACAAAATAGTATGTCTTTTCCCTGATTTACCATAATTTTACCGTTATTTATATTACATAGAAAAACATGTAGGTTCACTGTTTTGGCTAGCAAGTAAAATGGCTGTATTTTTGTTGTAGACATCGCATCTCCTTGGTTCCCATCACCACTGTAAAGAGTCATTAAGTTTCTCTACAATGCACCGTTTTACATCAGACCACTCCGAACGACTTTGTTTACATCTCACTGATTGAATTGTGCAGAAATTTTGAGAAATTCCCCTTTAAGACAACACACCTCTTCCTCTCCACAGAAGTCACAAATGAATTGGCCTTGATGTTCTTCCCCAAATTCTTTCTTCCCCACATTGTGTTGTTTCTGCTTTAAAACCAACAAAGTTTAGAGATATTTTATTTAACAGTTTATTAGAAATTCGATAGAAAGTGAAAAAGTATTCCACCACGTGTTGTTGATGTACTTCTTTTGGGAGGAAAATAAGTAGATCAGCCTCTTTAAATCCATCCACAAGGACAAATGTAAGTGTAGGTTCCACTGAGATTCCACTGGTGATGTCCATTTTCAAAGTTAGCTAGATGTTGTGGGGTTACATTGCTACACAGGACAGATCTACTCTTGCCACCTGGCTGTCATCATCCACATGATAGAAATGTAATTATTTCTGTATGGTAAAGAGTTAATTGAAATGAATCTGAGGTTGACTACACCACTGATCTGTGGATAGGAAAGAAACATTTAACAAGAGATTTCTGTAGTTTCTCCTAAATGGCAATAACATCACATGGAAAGACAAAGGGGACTTTTGCTATAAGGGGAATTCCACTGATTTTTCAAAATTCTCGACTAATTGAGATGTAAATGAGATGTACACAAAGTCATTCCTCGTGATTTAACTTGAAACTTGCAGAGTCAGAACTGTTCACAGTGGCGGTAACCATATATCTAATGCCTGTTTGTTGCCTCTAAAAGCTGCTTCACAGAAATGTAATACACAAATTGTTACTAATGCGCTGCCTGAGGACTACACTCTTAAAGAAGATGGTTCTTCAAGGGTTATTTAGTAAAGAAAATGGTTCCATATAGAACCATGAACACTCAAAGCACCCTATATATGATTAAAGGGTTGAAAAGGGTTCTATATAGCAACAGTTCTTCTATTGTTGCAATATCAAACTTGTTACAATAGAAGAACCCTTTTGGGTGCTATATAAAACCCTTTTCAAAATGGTTCTATACAGAACCATCTACAACACATTCTTCATCAATCTGAAGAATGCTTTCATGATGCAAAGAACCCTTTAATTATGCAAAGGGTGGAGAGTTCATGGTTCTATATAGAACCATTTTTTACTAAAGAACCCTTGAAGAAATATCTTTTTAAGAGTGTTCAGATATTGTTTTACGATAGTTTTACGATAGTTTTGAAAATTATAAATGTATAATGTCCATTCATGGCAAAGAGTTACTGTGTTGTAAAGCACAATATTGCCCAAAGAAAACATATAGTTTCATATGTACTACCATTTTACCATTATGACCATTACTTATAAAAACTCTGAAGACACAAGTAGGTTTACTGGTCATTTTGGGTCATAAATGAATGAGTCATTTGTGTTGGAGACATTGTGACGCCTGGTTCCCATCATCAACATAGTAAAGAAATCTGAGTCTGTAAGTTTCTCTACAGTGAACCATTTCATGTCAAACTGAATCTGAATAACTTTGTTTATGTCTGAATTACTGAATTATACAGAATTTCTTCAAAACTGGTGGAATTCCCCTTTAATTCTCCTGCTTAGATAGTTCTCCTGAGCAAAAGTCCCAAGTAATCTCACATGTCTCCCTTTGAGTTTTAGTAGAGATTCATTTTTATCTGCAACTCAACTAAAGACATGAGCTCAGCCATTTCTCATCCAAGACCTTCTTAGTTTTGATTCTGAGAGTAACTATTATATGCAAGGCCTCATGGTACGATTAGTGACTTTAAAATAAACATTCCCAATGAAGACAAAATATCATTGTCAGAACATTAAGGATGTGATTATAGAGAAGCATCAATTTGGGGAAGGAAAACCACCACCACACTGCCTACCAGGCCAGACTTCTAAACTTAGTTACCAGACAACAAGAGCGCTTCTTAGAAAAGAGGGCGGGTTGACATTTTCTCTGCATACGTAGCAGCAGTTAGTGTCTAAATCTCCAGGACAGTCCACAATATTTAATATTTTTCAAACTTTCCCCTCAAATGTAATCAGATTAGACACGTTTGTTTTTTCCCTAGTTTTTGCACTGGAGCTAAAAGGATACACACTTTAAAAAGATGGTCCTTCAAGGTTCTTTAGTAAAGAAAATGGTTCTGTGTAGAACCCTTTGCATGATTAAAGGGTTCTTTGCATGGTGAAATGGTTCTTCAGATTGATGGAGAATGTGTTGTATATATTTCTATATAAAACTTTTTTGAAAAGGGTTCCATGTAGCACCAAAAAGGATTATTCTACTGTTACAATGTCAATCTTGAAACAATAAAAAAATACCATAACAGAATTGGTGCTATGTAAAACCCTTTTCTAAAAGGTTCTATATAGAACCATCTGCAGCACATTCTCCATCAATCTGAAGAACATTTCACCATGCAAAGAACCACTTAAGCATGAAATGGTTCTATATAGAACTCATGGTCCTAAATAGAACAATTCTCTTTACTAATGTAGCTAATTGGCAACAAGCAAGCTTATGCTTCACTTATTAGTGTTGTGCAAACTGCATGACTAAATCATCAATACAATATTGGCTCAAAATAAAATGGACAAATCCTCTGCAGGGACATACTTTGCACATTTTAAGGCACAATTACTCTTTATTTGCTAAATTCGACATACTGTGAGGGATAAATAATAAATTGTGGCCTATGCAAAAGTTATGGCAAACATTTTATCTTTTATTTTTTCCAATATGTTAAACTCAGCAAATAAACAGAAATTGTACTCTAAATTGAGCAGAAAAAATATTTAAGTGTGTTCTCTGTAGAGGATATGTTAATGTATTTTCACTTAGAAAATCAACAGAACGTGTAATTTCTCCAGAGGTGTTCAAACTTTTGCAAACAGCCGTATAATAACAAGGTCATTTAGGGACAGTGACCCTCAGTTCCTTTAGTCAGTATGTTCTGCGAGTATGACACAGCATCCTGTTCTACTACCTCATTGTATTACATATTTTATGGAATAGAATGTACTTTTACTCAGTTGCATTTTTGTCATTAACATTTAGTTACTAATTCTTTTTTCTGTTTAATTTTATCAAGTTACACTAGTGACAGCATCGATCACACCTATGACTATGACTTTTTTTGTGGAAAGGCACTTTCACTTCTTCTCAAGTCATTATTTCACTGAATTAACACCACTTTAACACCTCTTTCAACACTTTTATCAATATCTTATAAATGAACGCAAACAATAAGAAGGCCTTCAATTAAGCAATGCCTAATAAAAATTGTCTGGTTTTGACTGGTGTTGGTGTGATCGAGTTTGCAAGACACTACAACCCTTCCAGCAACACTTCTACTCTTATCAGACTAACATAAGCATCTGGTGTTCACTAACCATCTCTGGAACTTTGACTGGAAATGGGTTCCAAACACCAAACACCACCGCCTGTTCTTTCAGAGACCTTGTGAATATTGTTAGCATTCATAGTAGGGATGTGCAATATTCCAATATTTTATCAATATTGTGATAAATGATGTTACAATATGCATTTCTGAGTCTATCCTGGATATCGTCAGTACCTAAAGAACACTGACCAACTGCATGTGTCATTACAAAGAGGGCAGGGTGTGACATGTTGAACAACAATCATTGTATAATCACCATATTCATTGTTTTCACAGCATTTCTGTAAATGTGGCACTGCTGGGGCTGTTTGTCTGGTCTAACTTATCAAACGTATCTGTTCTACTTATCAAAAACATAATATTGTGATATGTATCATGTATCCTGAAAACATTTTCAAGTATTGCGATGCTGTGTTTTTGGCATATCACCCACCCCTAACAGAAAGCATCATGTTCTTTCTTACCTTCCCGTACTTAGAGCAAAAAGGGCTGCTCCTACAGAGTGGCTAAAACTGGGTTGTCTTTGGACTCTCTGGTCCTTTCTGGAACAAAGATCCAAAGCATTCATCTAGATCCAAACCACAGAATAAAGCTTTTGAAGTGACCATCCCAGTCAAATAAAGTAAACTCAACTGAAAATCTGCAGAGAAAATGAGCTGAAAAGGAAAGCGCATAAGCGAGGTAATAACTGTGACATGCTTTTTTCAAGAAAAAGTTTTTCTTTCACACATAGCCATGAAAAGGGCCCTGTTATCCACCTGACAGCAGCCTCTAGCTGCTCGGCAAAGAAGTCTTTCAATACAGTGAATTTTATCTGGTCTTTTGATTATTTTTATAGGATATCACCTGTTTAAACAATAACCTGGCAAAAGCACATTATTACAAAATATTGACTAGGTAATTATAATGAACCAGGGAAATATCTATTTACAAATCAATTGCAAAATATTACAGCAAACGTAAGTGTTTTCATCCTACAAACTATTTTATAGCTTTTAAAAATAGCTTAAAGTAAAGGAGGCTTAGGAGGCCTGGAAATTTTTAAAAATCCCCCTTTTCATCGTGAACAGGCCGTTGATTGTTTGGCCGCGGTAATAACACCACAGAGTGGTATTACCTCTCTGCACCTATGACGTCTTGCTTTCAAATCCACATCAGTGCACCACAGTCAGTCGTTCAAAAACAGATGTGAAACTGCGCACAGGATGGTGAGAAACTACCACCAGGCTCTTCACGCGCAGTGACGAGGCGAGCTGGGTTTTCTTTAACTTCTGCCCTGCGACGTGAGACTCCGCCCACACACTGTTTTCCCCACCCATTTTCCGGTCAGGGCTGGGATTGGGCTTGGATTGGCTGGCGTAAGCCAATCCTAGCGCTGGAGAGGGGACGCTAATGGTACTAGCCAATCGCAACGCAGGCGATGGAACACTCTTAGCCAATCCTGGCTGAGGGGGCGGGGCGTTTCTGAATGAAGGTGGGGGAAAAATAACCGCCGTTCGTTCCAACTCCAACTGCTTTTTTTCGCTTTTCCTCAGGAAATCACATGGAGGTGTCGATGTACTCACATGACAACCTGGACTATGGAAGGAGAGATAAATGAAGGTAATTCGTAAAAAGAGCTCGTTTTGGGGAAATTGTTTTGCCATGAGCGATTTGAGCTGGGGTTGGGGTCGTTTTCGGTCGCGAGGGCGTCTGCACACTTTCTGGTCGTTTTAGTGCAACGTGTTCGACCTATAATTGTCGTTCTTGAACTGGCGAAAAAAGAAGATACGACTGTTATTGTAATGTAACAAAGCCGTTATACAGCTGGGAAAGTGAGGGGAAACTGCACTGTTTGTGTTGCTTCTATAGCTTCACCTGTTGAAGAATGTTGGCGATCAATAGGCATTGAAATTTAAAGGTAGTGATGACTAGACTGGGCTTCATATGAAAGAAGTGTAATTAATCCAGAAAATATAGAGAGAGGTGTACAGAGAGACTGTGACGCATTGGCAAAGCGTGTGTCCTGGTGTTCCAGGAGTTTGCGAGAAAGAATTTGTTCTGGCTGGCTCGGCTGTGTTTACCACAGTGACCTGCTGGTTGTCATTCTGCGAGGGTCTCATCGGCCTATACGTGTTGCCAGGGTTTCCACAGTGGGGATCTATGCAGGCAGTGAAGATGCATTGAAGCGCGGGAGGGGACAACAGACAGTGTCCCCACAGCGAGAGCGCCACGAAACCAAGAAATCCAGGACCTGTTGCGTAACCGTGGATCGGGATGAACGTTCTGGTCCAGAGCTGAGATCACAGCACAGAACACAGACGGATTTACAGGCAGCTTCAGCGTTACGCTGTGACACAGTTGTTGTTTCTGTGCAGAGGTTTGGTTTAGCAGGCGTCATAGGACGGTTAACTGTGTGCCTTCAGGATAATCATTATCAACACTGGGTTAGTTAACTTGGGACACGTTCATGTGGACTAAACAGCTTTTGGGTGTCATTCTTGTGTGTGGTGTAGCCTTTGGCTGGCAAATACACACTTTCTATTTGTGGTTTTTATTGGAAATTAAGCATCTGTTTCACTTTAACTCCTGCAAGTAACTCCTGTTATATATTGGGTGTCATTAAGATTAAAGGGGAATTCCGCCAATTTTTCAGAAATTTTGCATAATTCAATCGTTGAGAGTCATTCAGAGTGGTTTGGTGTGAAATGGTTTGTTGTAGAGATTTAGATTTCTTTACAGTAGTGCTGATAGGAACCAGGGGTCACACTGTCTGCAACACTAATATAGCCATTTCATTTACTGTCCAAGACCACCAGTGAACCTGCACATGTCTTCTGAGTTTCATATGTAACACTGATGATGGTAAAATAATGAAAAATCTGAAAATAATATGTTTTCTTTTGGGACTATTTTGCCTTACAGCACCCTGCACGTATCCTTCCGCCATAAATGGATTAAAATACATGGATTAACAAGATGTTTTAGACCAAAAACAATGTCTCACACATCAGGCAGTGTATGTAGACCCATTTTGTGTAATAACTCTTCAGACGTTTGGTTCCTATCACCACCAAATCTGAATAATTCTCAGTAAGTGTCCCTAGAACGGAGCTGTTCATATCAGCCCCCACTCTGAATGACTTTGTTTACATATTATCCATTTTTTTTACATAATACATCCATTTAATTAGATAGAAATTTTGAAAAATTGATGAAGTTCCCCTTTAAGATTAGGGTTCATTATTTACAATAAGATGTCATTTGGAGCAGATTTACAGATGTTTTCAGTAAATAAATATTAAATGCAAAATTACATCATACAAAAGCTAAAAGTCTAAAATCTTAAAGTGGCAGTAATTTAACTGCGTTCACAGTAGATAATATGGTAAATGCCCAGGGTTAATAGCTAAGTGCACAGTGGTGTAGATATACAATCCTGCCCACTTTTGGCTAAGTGAATGGTCATAAATGCAGTGTACAGTCTTGTCCAGTAATGAATTACCACAGAGGTATTCATGGTAACAGACACAGTATTTAAACACAGTATTGCACGGTGCCATTAAATCAGGGGTGGGAACTGAGAGATGGAGTTTGGTGATTATCCTGCTCAAACACATCAGTCAAACCTGGTAATTAGCTGTTGAGTTGTATCAGTTGTGCTTGAGCAGGAAAGTCACCAAACTATGCAGGAATCTGGCCCTCCAGGACTGCGTTATGTGTACTCAGGTATAGAGCCTGTTATTGCAGTAAGTCACTCATTTTTTAATGTCTGTCTCCCAATATCAGGATCTGTCCCCCTGTATTATCGGGAAGTGCATCAAGCTATCAGCAGTAGGACCGACGAACGAGTGCAAATCGAAGTGTTCCACAGACTTCTCAACAGAACCGATCTCTCGATAAACCAACAGAACCAGGTTGGTTATGCAGTAGTAAAGCTATTAACTGATCAACGGTTGTTATTTATGTTATTGTGTATCTAAAGAATATATTAGCAATTCTGGAGAAGACTTAGTAATTCAACTTCATGCATTCTCTTATTTACATACACTCTCTAGAACATGTCATGAAGTTCTGTGCCATGATGTGGGATGTGTATGAAAGCTGTAATGTTCATTACAGTAGCTTGGACGGTTCTGACACTTATCCTTATTCCAGATAACAGAGACACTTTTGTCTTTATTCCAGATAACAGACCATATAGATCATGGCGATGGCTTCCTTAGCAAGGTATCCTTCTATAAAGCCTTGGCTTTGATTGCACTTGCTCAACAAGGGAAGCAACCAAGTCCTAAACTCCTGGAGAACTGCATACAAGGTAAGCAGCAGCTCGTTTCACCTCTACAGCAGAAAACTGCATGGCATTTTATGGACAATAGCCCCAGTCACCCGCCATAAATGAATTACTCCATATAATATGTCATGTGGTACCGTAGTGTCTTGCTAACTTGTTCTGGCAGCGTAGTTTTCTGCTAGTCAGCATCCAGAAAATGTTTCATTGTCCACGTGTCCAGAAAGTTCATACGGATATTCATAAAAATGAAGTTTTTTTTTTTTATCTGAAGTTGTGTAATCACTCCCTTCCACTGCCCCCCCTCCACCAATTCTGAGTAAAAAAAACAGCCAAACATCTATGTCAGCACTTTCTGTGCCTTTGCCTGACTGTGCTCTCATCTCACCTTGTGGAACTCTCAGCGTCACAGTGATTATGTTGCGGGCCGTTTTGATTTGCTGTGAATTTGATATTGGACTCTGCCTTCTACTATTTATAATGGCTGCTTTGATTTATGTGCTTGCGGTCGGACAAGATTTTAAGTACAGTTTCCTCTTGTTTTTAAAAGCAGGCATTGTTTCTGAATGATGGGCTTTTTTGTCTTTCTCAGCAACCTCAAGTTGAAGCTCTGTTTCAGAAATGCATAATTTTAGGGCCCCTAGTGTTATTTCAGGTGCTGCCCGTGTGGCAGCTCAGCTGCGTGTAAGTGAAGCTGATGTGTCATGTTTCTTCCTGAAGCATGAGATTTCCCGTCTGTCACATGCCGCTTTACTCCACCCCGGAGTTTGCGTGGAATGCGCATGGAAGATCAGGCTTTGCATCACTAAGTACAGCCTCGGGCTGTTGTTTGGCTCCTGCATCTTAAATAAATTATTCTCTAAGTTTAATATCTTTAGGTTTGAGGTTCAAAGCCATTGGGAAGTCTGGTGAAATCAAGACAAACCAGATGCTTGTACAAGATTGAAAAGGCCTTTTTTTACCTTTACCCTGTGCCCTCTTTGGGACTTTTGCAGAGTCAACTTCCCATCTTGCTTCTCTTGCCCTCTGAACCATTATTTTATGCTGTCCCACGGCTGCCATGGATCCTGGGTTAAAGTAAATAAGTAAATACAGCATTAATCAGCATCTGGGAGGCTTTCTGATGGCCTACACTAATCAAATGTGACCTTATGACTCCCTGCTGTGTCATGTAGTTATTTCTGTCAGTCATACTTGAGTGAATAGTGCTTTATCAGCACCTCTCTGTTGGTTACAAAGAGAACGGGGTGTGGGTGTGGTGTTTGTGTGTTTCTACAGAGTTCCCTAAGCCCCAGCTTGGAGAGCCGAAGGACCTGCAGAACTTGAGGATGCAGCCAGTTCAGGAGAACCCTCTGCTCCTGTCACTGACCCTGACCAACCTGCTGGGCAAGGACACCATAAAAGTGGAGCTCATCCCAGAGAAGAAAGGCCTGTTCCTCAAACATGTGGAGTATCAAGTCACTAGTCAGGTGAGAGGTGGTAAAACCTGTATTATGTCTATCACAATCAATTGTAGTAATCAGTTATATTAAAAATGCTCATCCATTATATAAGTAATGTGCAATGTTTTGATGATTAATCAAGTAATTACGTTTTTTTTTTAAAAGGCTAAATTATAAAAATGGGCTTAACAATGATAAATCATGTGCAGCTTTTCAAAGATTCCACATACCTTACTGGAAAAAAGATAAACTAGGAAGACTTAAAAGAGCCTTTTTTCCAAAAAATTAAGAAATACATAAAGCATTGTGGCAAAAAGCTCAATTTCTTACCGTAAGAGTGGCACTTATAGTACTGTACAAAAGTCAAAGACCACCCTTCATTTAGGTGATTTCCAATCAAAATTTTACAGGAGATTGGATATAAGATAATCCAAATAAGGAAGGCATAAAAAAGAGGAAGTCAAAGGAAATGAAGTAAATAGGTAAGTAATAAGTACAAATAAGTTTACACAAGTTTCCAAAACGACAGTTTAAAAATGATTGTAACATACAGAGTAAATGGGAACCGTGCAAGACCTGGTAGACTACCAAAACTGTCACCATCAGATTACTATTATGCATAGCCGTTCCCCATTATTGGGAAAGGAAATGCACAAAAAAGAAGAAAGCTTGTCAAATTAAACAAAAAAGTTGCTGGTGTTCTCAGAACAATGAAATGACTACCCCAGAGTCCAGACCTCAACATCACTAAGCATGTTTGGAATTACTTGGACTGTCAGAAGCAGAAAATGTAACCAACTTCTGAGACTGAACTTTGGAGGTGTGAAAAAATATCCCTGCAGATTTCTTCGAAAACCTGAAGCAAGTCTCCTGAAAAGAGCGGAACCTGTAATAAAGTTAAAGGGTGGACTCTTATTCGGTTCTTGAGACTCTGTGTAATTTTCTGTTAAAGGTTTTCTCTTTTATTTCTGGCACTAAAATATGAATAACTTGTACTTGAAGGAAACTGAAATAATGAAGCGTGGTCTTTGATGTTTCAACAGTACTGGAGGAGAATTTAAAATATGTAATATCACATTGCATCAAGATTCACCAATTTTAATTGATAATGTTTCAATCGAGTATAACGTTTATTGAGTTATCATGACAGTACCTTCCTTGAGATGTTTTATGAGTCATTTTAAAGTAAGCATGTCTTTAAAATGTAAAAAATGTTGGAAAGCCTTTAAAGGCTTATTAACTAAAGGATGGACAAGTTGTTGGACAAGTGTGGCTGGTTTATCTACAACAGAGAAAGTAAATCAGTGCACATTAGCTGGAACTACAGAACTTCCTTTCTTGCCAGTCGGGGGAGGGGAGGGGGCAGTAAAGAAGAAAGTTGACAAAAACATGAGTTGAAATGTCACAGCTAATATAGTGCTACCTCTTTTTTCCCCCAGTTACAGAGTGCCTGGGGGTTTTTGGGTACATTCCTCTGAACAGTCTTCATGGTTAGAAATGGATTATGGATTTTGTGTGGAATGTTCTTGTTTTTACAGCAGGCTTTTAAACACCTTTGCCTTAAGAGAGACAAGAAAGGCATCTTTTAGTAGAGCTTAGAGAACCAAATAAGTCATACATACACAGTGAAGAACAGTTACACCCTAAAATATGCAGTAAGTATCCAAAAGACAATTCCTTTGGGTTGCCATTACAGGAAAAATGCAGCATTCTAGGTTTCCAGTCTTGTTCTCCAGTTAAAGCAATAGTTTGGCTAAATATTTAACAGCTTTATCCCCAACCCAAATGTACGTGATCAGCCAAGATATGTTTGGTATCCAAAGTTTGTTTCTTTGGTTTTGCACTGAATCTGCAAGGCTAATGTAATCAACAAGAAATGAAACTCACACAGCCAGGTAACACTGTAAGTTGATTAGAAATTTTTAATAAACTTGCTGACACTGCATGACTGTCTATTATCTATCAACATGGATAGAAGTCAAGATCATATTCAGACATCAAAGATGGCTGCTGCTGCTGCTTATAGCTATGCAGCATATTATTTTTATTGCAAAACTAATAAAGCAAACTACGGACGCCAAATATGTCTTGGTTTATCGACCATATTCTGGGCATCATTGCATGACTTGTAAAATCGAACGAGAAATTAAAAATGGGGAGCATCCCATAATTAATCCCATACACTCTCAGACTTATTACATTCTAAATCTTATTATTCAGTAAGTACATGGACTTTAAGTAAACTGCCTGTGTTATTCTTACTTAATAGAAGTGTGTAGTAAAAGTCATTTGTGTCAGTCTTTTGAAGAATGTCTTGTCATTTTGTCACAAGGCCACACAGACAAAAACAGTATATCTTACAGATAGTGAGTTTTATCTATGGCAAAGTACTCAAAACCCCACATTTTGCCATTGTCCTGTGACATAATCTAAGCTAAACTGGACCAGACTGTTCATTTTTTGCACACACAGAAGCACAGTGAGAACACGACCAGGGTATAAATATGTGGATGAGAAAGATGGATATCATTCAGTTATGCAGTGAGAACTGGAGAAGCATTTTGCTACAGCCTGACAAATTAACTTGAAGTTGTAAAGGGAGTGCATTGAAGTTCTGGTCACTTGCACATCAGTGTTCAACAAGCAGCTCTTCTCCCTGTGGTCCTCAGCAGACACTAGGGGTTGGCAGTATGACGCTATTTATGGCTGTTGTGATGAATTACACCATATTATGTAACCAGGTCAGAGTTTTTTGGACCACATCATAAGTCTTTCCATATTATTGTCAAACACACAGACTCATAAAGAAGGTTCAGCTTGATGTTTTGGTTTCAAATGCAAAATCAACATTATACTGATGAAGATATGATGACAATAGTAGATTATTACACATTTCCACCAGAGAGGTCTCTAAATCCCAAGGTCTTATATAGTGTAGCTTTAAATTTGGTTCTACGTTACAACTGGTTACAACCTCAGAAACACAAAAGTTTATGATAAATAAAATGTATCATGAAAATACAGTATCTTAAAGTATCAAGATGTTATATTTTTGTCATATCGCCCACCCCCTCTGCCTTTTTCTCTTTCCTAGCTCTCTCATTGGCTATTGCCTGAATGTTAAATACCTCACCATCTCATGCTACAGGACTCGTTTAAATGTTTGAATAGAACGGTAGGCCTCTGATCACTCCAGAGCTAAGGCTGAAAGATTAATCATTTTTATATCAACATTGCAATTTGAAAGAGTGCAGAAGCTGCAATTTTGATTATAGCCTATCTTAACAACAGTGTTGTCTTAACAATTTTTAAGTGGTGAAATTTAGCCTAGTAACATGGAGCTTATACACTGCCTGTAGATGAGTAAGACTAATCAGCAATCAAACATCCATGTATTCTGACAACACAGGCACACTACATTCAGCTCTCAAGCCTCCCACCAGTGAAATAGGATAGGATGGGCTTTTTGGCCAAAAAAGGCCAGGACCTCAGTTTATAGAAAATATTCACAATTTAAATCGCAAAATTGGTCAGAAAAATTGCAATTAGATATTTTGCTGAAATTGTTCAGCTTTGTCTGGAGCTAGATTGAAAGCCTAAAGACTGAACTGTTTTCCCTCTCACATCACCACAAATTGGGGATAAAATAGGGCTTAAAATAGTGAAGTGTACACCTGGCTGGAGGAAATTGTGAAATCCAAACTATTCTTTAATGGAATAAGTCTGCCAGAGCCAGTGATTATCATATGCAAATGACAACAGACATCTGTTTATTACAGTTCACATTCTGGGAGAAGGTGCATGTAGACAAGTTTTGCACTTATTATTCTTATGAAATTTATATAGATTTCATGTTTCATTGACTGCATATTTGCATTAAAAGCTGCACTTGAAAACTTTGTTTTTGCCAGTTTATTGCTAATTTGTTTATGTGTTTATTTTCAGCGCTTCAGAATTTCAGTCTATCGGCGGTACAGTGACTTTGACGTCTTCCACGAACTTTTGCTGCAGAGATATGCCTACAGGATGGTGCCTGCCTTACCACCCAAAAGAGTACTCAAGGGAGGTAGGACGCTGTAGTGTGTATTGCATGCTGTAAAAACATGAGAGGTCGATGGCCTGCAATTACAGCTGTAGATTATAGTGTTTTGTAGTCATTGGCATTGGCTGTGGTTTGACACAGCTCTTTTTGGGCAGCTCACAGAAACACAACTATCAGTGCGTATTTCTAGCATGAAAAACAGTATTTCTGTACTTTCCTTGTATCTCAGTTTTGCTATGTTTGAGTGATATTTAAAGGTTCTTGTTGAGGGTGAAGTTGAATCGTGGTTCTCCTCCTCTGTTCTGCAGTCTTGGCCTCAGTGTCAGAGCGAGAGTTCATTGAGGGACGGCGGCGTGGTTTGGGCAGGTTCCTGAACCTTGTGGGAAGGCATCCTTTCTTCTCTGAGGATGAGCTAGTGAAGACCTTTCTCACTTTCAATGGCTCGGTTTGTCTGTTTTTCTATACTTCCACGTATGAGGCAGCTCAGATAGCTAAACCGTGAATAATTATGGTAACACTGTAGGTCATGTTAATAAGGCTGTTAATGTTAATAATAACTTTTTTAAGTAAAACAATATACATGACACCTACATAAACCCTTCATGGTAACTGACACAGACCTACATAAACATTTATATAAACATTTGGAAATGATGGCAATCATTTGTCATAGTTATTGCCAACTTTGTTGTTAAGTTGATATAACATCTGTGTCAGGTGGCATTTATTAGGTTATGTCATGACATTTTCTTGGGTGAAATGTCACATGACATGACACTGATAATATGACAGCTTGCTAAGTGAGACTGGTTGAACACAAGTGTGCTTTTCTGGCCTTTAGGTAAAATGTTTTACCATTATAAGATTTAAGCTCCACTATATGAAAGTATGTGGACACCTGACCATTACACTTGTATGGGCTTGTTGAACACCCCATTTCAAAAACATGGGCATTAATATGGAGTTGACACCCTGTTTGCAGCTATAACAGCCTCCAATTTTCTGGGAAGACTTTCCCCAGGATTTTGGAGTGTGTCTGTGAGAATTTGTGCCTGTTCAGTTAGTGGGGGAAGTGAGGGCTCTGTGCAGGCCACACTCATCAAACCATGTCTTTATGGAGCTCGTTTTGTGCACAGGAGCAAAGTCTTGCTGGAACAGGAAAAGTCCTTCCCCAAACTGTTACCACAAAGTTGGAATCATGTAATTGTCTAAAATATCTTTGCATGCTGTAGCATTAACATTACCCTTTCACTGGAACTAAGAGGCCGAGCCCAGACTCTGAAAAACCGCCCCAGATCATTATCTCTCCTCCACCAAATTTGACTGTGGGCACAATTCATTCAGGTAGGTAGCGTTCTCCTCCAAACTCATATTTGTCCATCAGACTGCCAGATAGTAATCATGAGTCATCACTCCAGAGAACATGTTTCCACTGCTCCAGAGTCCAGTGGTGGCATGTTTTACACCACTCCAGCCCTCCAGCTCCTCTGGCAGAAATTAGTGTGAGAGGGGATTTTCTAACGTGGCTCAGTCACTTCCAGTGCATAATAAACAAACAAATGTTTAAAATGAAACACCAGGTATTTGTTCTGCATTTTTACAGGCACTTCTAAATTGGAAATGTGAAATCTCTTCATCTGTATAAGTTACTCAATAGTCAGATTTCTTTCAGATTTTTTGTCTTTTGCTAAGCACCTCTAAGATTGCCAAGCAGTTCGCCAATAAACTCAACAAAGAAGTAGCATGTGACATAAAATCCAAACTTCTTGCCGCAATTTTCTTTTTACATGGTGCTGAATAAGATGAATACTGAGCTACAATCCAGTTGACTTTATTGAAATTCTAGAAATCTGATAGTGGTTCATTCTCATCTAAGAAATCAAAGTATGCTGTTTTTACATGGCTATTTAAAAAATTGGACAACTGCTGGATGACTCAGATCATGATCATATTATTGGTGGCATGTAAAACACACTCAGTGGCTTTGAGGTGAAAGTGCAGAATGTTCAGTGTGAGGATAATCAACTCATGTTCAGTGTTTTTGCACATGATGACTGCCTGACGTTTGTGGCACACAGTCATCACTGAATTCTCGGTATTTTCCCTGGTGACGTTTTGCCAGATCTGTAATACAGCCATTTTCAGTTCCTGCTTATTTTCTGGCATTTTGCCTTCAGTCTTCAGTAGAGTGTAATGCATTCTTGGTGGGGTTCAAGTCAAATGTTGGCTGACCAAGCCAATTAACATTCCACTTTTTGGCCCTGAAAAACTCTGTTATTGCTTTAGCAGCATGATTCTAGTCACTGTCCTGCTGCAGTGAAGCATGTTTCAGTAGGTGTTGGGGCATATTGATAGTTCTGAGCAGTTAACCTGCTTCTGTACACTTCAAAACTTATCTTGCTCAACAGGCTTTTTTGTACTTGTCAGCAAACCGTAACCTGCCCTTTCCATTCTTTCCAGTAGCTTGGTGAGGTAATGTTAGTGTATGACCAGCACTATTCAGGTCCTGAATAGTGTTCGTGATCTGTTCAGTATGGTCATGTTTGCAAGCATTCTTTGGTCCCCTGTGGTCTTTAGTGGTCTGCCAAGTTGTTTGCTGTTTCTAAGTTCACCAGTTCATTCTTACTTTTTAACAATGTAGGTAATGTTTATTTGACACGCCTGATGTGAGGAAATTCTGTACTAAAAGGCATTAACCAAATCTTATATGCACTACGGAGCAAAAAAACAGGAAAATATCTGCCCCCATGTTTGGTACTTGGTCTAAAAGTTCTGTATATTTGTGAATCTTTCATGATCTTGGTTATGTAACCTCCTAGAAATAAACTTCCATGGCTCAGCATAAAAAAAATGCTGCTCCAACAAACCTCTTGTCATTTTAAAGTGACATTGATTGGCTCCTTTGTAGACCTCAGTGACATTACCAACTGAGAGAGACGCACACATACACAGCTTGTGCAGCCTGAGGTCCAAAGCCTAGCTGTACTTCTCAAAATGAAACAGTGCCAGCTAACACATTAGTAACAGTTTACAGCAAGAATTCATCAGTAGCAGTTATGTAGCTAGTTTTCCAAGATATCCTAGCCTTTTTTGTCAGTTTGACAGTTGCATAACTGGCTGCTCATTGTCAGGAATTCATTATCTAAAGGGGTTATAGATGTAGATGTGGAAGGATGTTCTATAGGCATATTAGGCTATTTAAAATTACATTGAGCTTTTTTTTTTTATTTATATTGGTAATAATATCAAAGAACTTCAAATTAATAACCAAAAACAGATCTACCTAATGTTTTGTTTTGTCTCTTGATTCATTTATTTAAGTACTTCGCATCAGTTTGCATCAACTTTTGTTGTCTCATGAGTCAAAATGCATATTATTGTGTGTGCTGAATGAATGAGAGTAAATTTATTCTGATTTTTAAGTCTCATGCTGGCCTGCCTTACTGGTATTGACGGTTTTTGGTCCTCATGATGAGAGACAACAGCAACAGACTCCAGGTGCTAATGCCACATCTAGAACCAACTCTACATCATTTCCTTATTCTCTTGTGGATGAACTAATGATAACACATGGCTTGCCAAGAAACAACTGAGCAGCCAGCTGTCCAAGTACATACAAGTACATCGTTTCCAAAAAAGTTGGGACACTGTCAAAATGTAAATAAAAACCAATACAATGATGTGCAAATCATTTAAACTCAATATTTAATCAAAATTAGTACAAAAGCAACATATGAAATTTGATACAGAGAAAGTTGATTGTTTTTTGAAAAATATGTGCCTGTTTTGAATTTCATGCCAGCAACTTGTTTCAAAAAAGTTGGGACAGGGGTAACAAAAGACTGGTTGTTGTGTGATGCTAAAAAAATACTGGGTGGAATGTCTCACAGCTAATTACATTAACTGGCAACAGATCAGTAACTAACCACTAACGTTTCTGTACGTAAAACAGCAAAAAACTAGGGGATGTGATCATCTACGGTACATAATATCATTAAAAATTTCAGAGAATCCAGAGAAATTTCTGCCTGCAAGGGACAAGACTGAAAACCAATAATGTCTGGCCATGATCTTCGGGCCCTCAGGTGGCACTGCATTAAAAACAGACACGATTCTGTAGTGGAAATCACTGCATGGCCATGGAACATTTGATATCTTGACTATTTTCAAATAAATACAGGGTTTAAATGATTTGAACATCATTGCATTCTGTTTTTATTCACATTTTGCACAGCATCACAACTTTTTTGGAAATGGGTTTATACAATCAGCAAAAATGGGAAGGCTATGTATAAAAAGGCCTGTAAAGCTAATATGGTGCACACAATATGGACAAGCTATTACCTTAAATTAAGTCTACAGTAACGCACCAATACAGAGCCAATACAAAAAAGCAGGGTGTAATTTGCTCCTGTCTTTGTTGATGATGCTAAATGAAGCAAGCCTTTTTAAGTGATGCTATAACAGACAGGGGAAGTAGACACATTCTTATCCAGATGAGCATTATTTGTCCATTTGTTCATTTATCACAGGATGTCCAAACCAAGCTACGTGACGCTTTTAAGAAAATGGGGGACGAGTTTATGACGTGTAGATATGCAACACAAGCCAAGGTTCGAATCTGCTTCTTCTTCAGAGCTTCAGCCTTTTACAGTTATTAGAGCTAAACAAGTATTCAGTGTTCTAATACGTTAACTGTAGTTGTGTTTGTCTGTTCTATAGGAATACCTCCCTGCAGACATCCAGTCTCGCTTCTCTGTGAGCAGAGAGCTGATCAGAAACATTCACAACAGCTTCCAGAAGTTGCGGGACCGAGCAGAGAGAATGGCAGAGCGCTCGAAGGATAATGCCACAGATCTACTAATGTTTGGGAAGGAGATAAGGTATACCACCCCTACCTCCACATACGCACATACTCAGGCACAATTATCTATTTTTATTCTGATCTGAAGTGATTTATTATATCACTAAGTGTGTGGCTACTATATTTACAATAAATATATTCTGCCATAAATAGATTGTGAAGAAATATATTTTAAGCCAAAATCTTATCTCAAAACTATCAGAATACAATGTCTTGGGCAGCACTTAGCACATTCGCAGCCATATAATGCAGTAACCTTTTGTGAGGGAGCCTTTAGGGGCATTAAACTCTTAATATGTCTGGTTCCTTTCAGTACTGTAAACAACTCTGACTCTATAAGTTTCTCTAGAATGGAGTATTTCATATCAAACCACTCTGAATGACTTTGCTTACATCTCAGTGATTTAATTATGCAGAACTTTTGGAAAAACAGTGGAATTTCCCTTTAAGTCTTTAGAACAAGTTCAGCTTTGTATGTTTTAAAATATCTTTGAATATTACCAGCTACTTCCCCTTTTACTCTACTGCTGTAGACTTGTGAGAAACTTGGGGAGGTTGTATCATTGTCCAGAAGGAAGAACACAGATATAAAGGAAGTGTTACTTTTTGTGCAGTTTTTAGCTTCATAGTTTCAAAGTTTCACTTTTTACTTCTCAGGATATTCTTGAAATGTTGCATGTTTATCAAAATATTTCAAATGCATCTTCAAAATATTGTGACTTTGCTCTGCAAAGCATATTTTGTCATTTTTAGCTTTAAAGTTATCTTTTAAAGAAATGTTTTGGCAACAAAACACAAGTTACACAATTTTCTCTTCACCCCAAATGTAGTCGATCGGTGTCCAGAATTTGATTCTTTAGTTCTGCACTGGCGCTACGAGGCTAACAAAGCCAATGAACAACAGAATCTTATAGCCCACCAAGTAGCAATTAGCAACTCCACTTGCCTCAAACCACAGCAAATTGTTTATAAATTTCAAATAGACTTACTTACGTAGTTACTAAAACTGGGCAGTATGATCATTTTTGTGATATTTTGACACAAACACAATGCACTAGTACAGGGGTCGGCCACCCAAATGTTAAGAAGAGCCATTTTGTCTTGTTAACAAAAATCAGACCACCTTGGGAATTGATTTATTGAAGTAACATTTTACCATTTTGGCTGTAATTATGTCTCAGCATGTTCTAACATCCTAGTGTAGGCTAAAAAATATAAACAAAAAAACACAGACTTGCTCTGCTTTAAGCTTTAGCTCAGATATAGCCGCTTTTCTCACATCTCCGGCAGTAAAATGTCTCCCAGTGTTCGCATTTTGTACGAGGCTGAAGTCAGCTTGTCATTCTCCAGCTTCATGGTCTAATTTTCCCGTTCCACCTTAAATGGTGCCTGAGGTGCCAGAATGTAACTGCTGCACCATTTAAGGTGGAACGGGAAAATTCGAACGAGAAGCTAGCTTTAGCATCACGATTTTTTAGTGTTTGACAGTTTCTCGATGCAGATTAAACATATCAGGAAACCAACTGACTGCTCATGAACGCAAATAAGTCCGACCGTCTCCAAATTATTCATGTTAAATATTTCTCTTTGCCTTGTTAGCTACTAGCTAGACCGATCTTCAGGGTTAAAGGTTGGTGAATTATGGTGAATTAGCAGTTATACATTAACTCCAGCGTTTAAGACCGCTTATTGTTAAAACTGTGTTAGAATGATCAGCAGAGCTTTATTTTTACTGCAAAGGAAGATTATTTTATTTTTACCTAAAAATCTACTGTGGAGCCGCAACAGGCCAGTAGAAGAGCTGCATGCGGCTCTGGACCCGCATATTGCCGACCCCTGCACTAGTAATACTACATTTAAAAAGTATTCTAGGGAATTTTGGTTTGGCTTTTCATATCCTGTAGTGCTCTAAATGCAACTTAACAAGCCTAATTTTGCTCTCTGTTTAATGAAACATGCAGTTGGTCAGTGTTCTTTAAGCATGGTCAATATCCACAAAATGCTCAGAAAAGCATATTATCAGGACAACAAAATGTTTTACGTTACCAGTGAAATATCGTCATATTTCCCAACTCTAGTGGTCACTGACTGTATGACATACTGCTGTCTGTAAAACCTGACAAAATGGTGGACAGAACTCAGGCTTCAGCTACTACTACTGTTTTTAGCTATGCGACACACTTGTGTCCATTTTATTTTGAAGACAAATTCTGTTGAGGATTTAGAATTGCCACTGCAAGCTATATTCACCTTGTAGCTTCACCCCAAAACTAAATAAGCAAATTTCAGACACCAAACATGCCTTGGCTAATCAACTACATTTGCGGTAAGAGGACATTTGTATTCATTTCATTTGGACATTTTGTGTTTTTATGTTATGGCTTAAATTAGCTTGCCTGTAAGTTTTCTCTTTCACCATGGATCCCAGTATTGATTTACTTTCTTTTAACGCCCTGCTCCAGTGCCCTGGGTTCCGATGCTTCACCCGTGCCTGTCCTGGACTCTTCAAAAAGCATGTGGGGGGATCTGAGACACTCTCTCCGTGGCCTGTCTGCAGAATTCTCCCTGCTGGCAGAAAAAGCTGCTGAACAGGTACAGACTCATTCATTCGAACTGCTCATATGCAGAGCAGAGCTACTGCAAGGCCCTTATATGTGTGTTTTTTTTTCTACAGGGAAGAAGAGAAGAAGATGACGTGGTGGAAAAACTGAATCTCTTTTTGGATTTGCTGCAGTCATACAGAGTAAGTGGGTTTAAAATGATAGCACGACCAGACCTGTTCACTTTGCGTACAAATGGAACAATAAGAAATAAAAAAGGGCCAATGGGGCATTGTAAATGGCAGCATGTGTGGAATACAGCTCTGCATGTACTGAACTTAAGCCAGCTAGAACACTGGTACACAGGGAATTTTTACAACAGACACAACCTCAACCATGTCCTCATCTGGTAAGCACTGGGCGTTTTTATCATTAATTAAAATTGGAATCTATTTATTTTACAAACCCCATTCCAGAAAGTTTGGGACAGTATGTGAAATGCTAATAAAAAATTTTGTCTTATACTGTTTTCAATTTAATAGTAGTAGTTCAATTGATTTGAACATCATTCCATCCTGTTTTTATTCACATTTTGCACACCGCCCCAACTTTTTTGGAAACAGGATTGTATATAGAGCTGGGTACAGGTGTAAACAGAATAGTCTTCTGGTGATGATCTGGAGGATAGGAAAGGATGATTGGATGATGGCTGTGACATAAGCATCACATGATCTCTTTAGGGATTCTGGGAAAAGATCAGTGAGGAAAGTGTCTGAAACTACAGAGCCAGAGGGAGGTGTGACAACTTCATTGGCATATTTTGCACTTCATAATATGCCACATGTTTTCAATAAGAGACAGCCTGGCTAGTCTAGCACCCACACTCTCTGATTACACAGCCATGCTGTTGTAACACGTACAGAATGTTTCTTGGCGTTGTCATGTTGAAATAAGCTTGAACTTCCCTGAAAAATATAGCGTATGAAAGGCAGCATGTGTTTCTCCAAAATGTGTACATATATTTCAAAATTAATGGCGCTTTCATAGATGTGCAAGTTAACCACTAATACCCCCACCATGACAGAACCTCACTCTTGACCTGTACGCTGGTAACAATCTGGATTGTCCTTTACTTCTTTGGCCTGGAGAACATGACATCCATAATTATCCATAAACTCATCTCATCACGAGACTCATCAGACGCATTTGTATACAGTATAACAGCATTTTGAATGTTTGTAGTATCTGCCAGTCATTTTCAGACATAATCATTGAATATATTGTCTTATATTGTCTAAATTAAGCCATTTTGTGTAGTAAGTCAAAATAATGAAAAAGTTTCTCATAATTATAATTTAAAATCACATAATTATGAGTTTTCATGAGATGCTGTCTGATAACTACATAAAATAAATTGTTGTTATTTCAGTTATGCCACACATTTCTATTGAGCGCATGACTATTAGTATTTTCTCTAATGACATAATGTCTTAGTATTTCAGATTTCTGAAATAGTATCTTATTATCATGAGCGATTAGATCGTAATTATGATAGCGAAAGATGTAATAATGCTAATAATACTCATAATATTTCAAAACTATTATAAACTTTCTTATTATAATTTACTAAATAACTTCATTTTTGCTTTTATTTAGCACTAAGAGCTGTTGATTGATTGAGGCTACTCTAACTTACTGGTTTAACTTAGCAACTGTTTTCTAGCAGCCTCATGGCTCTGAAGGGCACCCTGCATAAAATGACATGTTACCATGAGATGGCAAATCCAGTTAAGTTTTAAATATTAGCAAAATATATATATATATATTTTTTTATAAAAATGCAATTTAGAATTTTTTTCCATGTGCATGCTTTTGGACCACTGTGCTAGAGTGATGCATTTTAAATGTGCAGACTGCTCGGACTGCATGCATTTAAGAATAAAAATAAACATGTTACCCTGGCAGGACTTGTGTGAGCGGCACGAGAAAGGCGTTCTGCACGAGCACCAGAAAGCACTGCAGAAGTACAGCGTGATGAAGAGGCAGATGATGAGTGCAACCGTGCAGCCAAAAGAACAAGTGTCTGTAGAGCAACTGGAGTCCCGCATTGTCCAGGTAAACCTTCTCCCACACAGACACACATGAATGAAGACAACAGAGAGGTACTTTTTTCATACGTTTACTTTTCTTCTTAAAGGCCCACAGTTGTCAGTTAAAGGATGTTAGGTGGGTCGTTGTTGATTCAGCCATTAAATATGAAACCCAAGCCCCTAAACAAGACTTCTTTGCATATTCATTGTAGAGGAGCTGGAACTGTGCTTACATTTGAAACAGGATTTTTCATTAAGTAATACTGTTCAGTGTTGGCTAGTACAGTTGTATGCAGACGTTTGGACTGGTCATTTGTAAAAAATTTGTAAAAAAAAAAGTGAAAATAAGTTAACACATCCTCTATACAGAACACACTTCTGTACATTTTGTTCGTTTGCCAATTTGGGGGGAAAAATAATACATAAAATGTTAAAACATTAATATGCATATCTGATTTTTTATTTACTTTGGTATGTTTTCTGAGCATGCCTGAGCACAAATCTGAGGCCCTATTTAATGTAGTCCTTTGGTGACATGGAATGATTTTTAAAAAACAGTAGAAAATCCTAATCTGACTGTGAGGATAATTCTAAAAGGTACATGTCATTAAAAAGGGGACTGTTATATATTCATCCACAGTAATAACTAACTATACAAAAATGTTGCCCATTTTTGTCAATATTTTGTATCTAGTCTCCTCAGAAATATCTCCTTAAGATGGTCTCTGATTTTTGCACAGTACTGTAAATACACATAGCTTATTATTCAAACAGTAAGTTACTATACAGTTCAGTTATAGTACAGTTACTATAATCCCAGCTGTACTGGTGAACAAGGCACTCAGATCTTTTGTGTCATGCTGTAATTGGAGGAGTAGTATTATATTTTATTGAAAGTTTATTATTTTGTTTGTAATAGTAATCTGAGTAATTACTAGAATGCAGCCTGTTCCAACATCTATGAAGCAAGTTATTATGAAGCCCCTTCTTACTCCTTAACGACATGTTGCTTTTACAGAAAAAGCCTCCAGAGTAAATGAGGAGACAATGAAAAGAGAACGAATAAAAGTGGCAGTTTCTTGCTTCCAGCTGTTGATTGATATCTCACCATAATGCCAAAACATTCAGCCGCATTAAGTCTTAACCTCCTCATAATGTGCTGTGATCCACTGAGTGGCTCGTTAAACGAGGGAACATCGCTTTTACGAGCTTTCCCTACTCAGTCATCATTCACCATGCTGGGACATGACACAGAGGGTAGGATGGGAGGGGGTCTTTCTCAGTGACCTCAATGTGACCTCTCTCTGCATCCTTGCTCCCTGCAGCAGGAGAATGCCATTCAGACAATGGAGCTTCGCAACTACTTCTCGCTGTTCTGCCTGCACCAGGAGAGCCAGCTCATTTTCACTTACCTTCCCATCACCTCGCACATCCTGGGGGCCTTCATCAACTCCCAAGTGCAGGGGCACAGAGAGGTGAGGACCGCTGTGAGAAAACAGTGGTTACTGTTATACCGGTATTCCATGAACAAACACAGATAATGTGACATACATACAGTGCAAAACACACTAATTCCCATGTAGTGAGTTGCAGACTGAGAGGTAAACTAGTCCAGTTTGTTGTCAAAGGAGCAGAAATTAAAATGAAACAAGTTTAATGAGTCCTAGGGGGAGAAGAGAGTGCCAGCCGGTCTTTTGGGGTTAGCCTCATATGGACAATAGCCCCTCGCTTGGAGTTTTTAAAAAAACTTTGTTGAATTTTCAACAATGCAGTACAATACAATGTATCATGAACATGTCAGCTGCTTAAGGCAACGCCACAGTCTTGGGCTACAAGCCAAGAGGCTCTGCAAATACTTTACATGCACCTGCCTTTTTCTCATTAGGGTTAGAAAACATTATTGACATCTGTTTCTCTGTTCTTATTGAAAGTGAAGGGACATCCCAGAATATATACATAAATACACTATACTGATATATATATATATATATATATATATATATATATATATATATACTGTCAGCAATCTTAATTATACAGTAACATAAATTTTTGGCCATACTGCCTAAGTGATGATGCTAATTTCTCTAATAATAATAACAATAAAACATGGGGAGCTGAATAGTGAATTCTTTGGCAAAATATTTCAAAGTACATACTTTTCTCAATTAATATGCAGTTTTTACTTTCTAGAGTTTTGCAGCAGCTCTCATGATGCCCTGTTATTAAGAAAGGCATTTACCTTGTCTGAAAGTCACATGACCTGTCATTCTATCTCTAGAATGGCTTGAAAATACAAGATTAATTTCCTCTGTGCTGTGTGAACTCTTAATATGTGCACATAAAAAAACTGTGTATTCATTTGCCATTAAAATGTATGCACATTGATCACTTCCTGAGTAAATCACACTTTTCCCTGGTTCGGACCATTTTAATAATATCAAATATCTAATATTTTATATAAAATATCTAATATATCGTCGTCCAAAGAAAACCAAGTATCTCCATTTTAATCGATTTTTATTTTTCTACATCATTTCAACACACCAGCTGTCATTCACACTGTGTGAACATTTCATAATGCATGGACCAATAGAAATGCTCTAAAATTACTTGGAATAAAATCTCTTTATATTGACTTACATTGAAAGGTAAGAGTGTTTTTGCCCTCTCCTGTAAAATTCCTATTTTGGAGATACTTGTTTTTCTTTGGACAGCAACGATATGTAAACCTATCCAGTGTTTACCCAAAGTACCCATTATATTTCATACTCATCTGACATCAGAACACAATGTGCCTCCTCCAGATAGCCTATCAGACCATATTCTGAATTGTTTGCACATTGCAAGCATTTACATTCGTCTTTAAGTCGCATTTTTTTGTTACGCGACATGCGCTTTGCATACTAATGCCAGGTAAATGTCTGGCTGTGTACCAGCCGCAGATTAATGCCTTGTGCAAATGTTAATATGATTAAAGTGGAAAAATGAACCATACTGAGAAATATACAGTACATTGTGGACCTAACAGCATCAGCCTCAGACTGAGTCACACAGGGCAACTTACCATAGTGTTTGCTCTGTTCTATGATGTAAGTATTATATTACACAGTTTTCATTATTAGTTGCTAATGACATTTTTTAAAGTAAACGTTTAGCCAGTAAAATGTTTTCCTTGGATCAAGGGCATCCTTAGATGATCAAAATATCATTAAGCAAGACTTTAACTGTCATTTAATTCAAAAATAATGTTTTCCCATGGTTTTTGCAGAAGAGCTGACTACAGTTTTCCCAAAGAAAATATTGTGGGGATTTTGACTCTAGTCTCTGCACTGCTGAGAGCTGGACTTCATTTAAAGCTGAACCCATTGCCATGATTGATAAACATATTAGGCACTGTGAATATGTATTTTGTAGGGAAGTAACAATGTATGCATTTTCAGATTCAATACGATTTTAAATGCTGAGGTCAAGATTTAGTGTAATAGGTTGGTACTTTTGTCAAAGAGAGGGCTCTAATTATATACTACCCAGATTGGTTTTGTCACGCTGGTCCTTTAACAAAATTAACCACCCAAATCACAACCCATAGAATTTTAAGGGACTACCAAAAAATTATCAGTCATTTGAACAAGAGTCTATGCATAAGCCCCTCCCTGCTTTTCCCCCCACTTGATTCAGATACGTTGCACTCAGATGGCTACTTTTGATCATTGTCTGTGGTTTCCATGAAAAACAGGAGACCCTTTGGAGAGACAGAGGAGTATTTTTATGATACTGCTTTAAATTTTGGTAATTTTTTTCAGACATTCTTTTGCAATACTAAAGATCATTTAGATCAGTTAGAGGATCTTGACTCCTCTCTTGGGAAATATTTAGGTTTTCACCTAAAGTGGGTGTGGCAAAGGGCCGGCAAAGCAGGGCCGACAAAGCAGAAGCAGATAGAATCTTTTGACTGAGACTGACTGATTAAACAAGTGGAATGAGGTGTTCAACTGCCTGTTTGGAACGAAAACCTGCAGCTACACTGGACGTTTGTGAATAGATTTGGACACGCATGACCTAAAGATTAAGCTTTTCTATCATTGACTCTCCAGCCAAAAAGTTTGCCTGCTAACATAAACATAAGCTTTCCATAAAGTGGCTTTCCATATGTTCCAACTAGTACAAGTTCAGTTACATTTGTGTGTGTTTTGGCTCTTAACCTTGTCTGTCTCCTCCTAGATGGGCCAGGTTTGGAACAACCTTCACTCCAAGCTGAGTGGTCTTTTCACTGGCAATAATGGACTCCAGTCTCCTCCCCTCACTCCAAAATAGGCAGAAGGCTTTGAGGAGGGTGAAGTGGCAAACACAACCCTGCTTGGACTGCCAGAAGCACCTTGGGCAATTTCCCTTCTTTTATGTAACTTCCAAAAAACACTACTATGCATTTCATACAGATGGAAGAGAACTACTCCTCTCTGTTTTTGTACTCATTTCCACAAGGATTTGTAGCATGTGTGCCGAGGACTTTTTGATTCTTTCAGTGCTTCATGCTGAGCTTCACACAGAGCTGAACTGATAATATATTTGGTGGAAATTATAGTCATGAAATGGCATCTTAAATGACAACAGAGATATTGGCTATTGCTTAGAGTACTATATGCTACAAATGTCAATATGGAGCTAAGGATGCTGGCAGATATGTAATTTTCTTATCACAAAGCAAGAATTATGCTTTACATTGTACAGCATCATACTGATAACACATTTGGTGTTATAGGTGCAATATTATCCATGCAGTATGCTGAAAATACTGTATGATAAGATATTCACGCTTACAGCCAGAGGAGGGCAGTGTTGCTGCAATGAGTACTTCTAGTGTCCACATAAAAGACATTGGTTACTCAAGAATTACCCCAGACTACACTTGCAAGAGATCTGGGGGTAAAAATCTAGAAACAGTGGCACATTATGACAATATTACTGTTATAGTCTTTCCTTTATGAAGCTGGTTAAACCAGAGCATCATATATTCATATTTTTGCAGTTCTCGGTTTCAAATTTTATAGTCGACCCCCTTTGAAGGGACTTTTAAGAAGCTAAGATAAAGGAAATTAGTTTTATATCTGATATGTTAGCTACCAGTTCTTCTAACTCATACTAGACTGTGAAGTATTTGTAGTTGCTAAGCCTGAGCCCAAAGCTAGAGTACGAGTCTCAACTCAAAGTCTATTTGCATATTAATGTGGATAATAGTAGTGAAATTAAAGGAATTGATGAACCAAAGAACTGTTCTCACATCTCATATTATGAAGACATGCCTAAATTCCTTAGATTTGAAATGAATACACCTCAGGTTGAAATATGAAGGACAATTAGACTAAAATTATGGGTGTTAAATGTTGGAAATGTTGTTAACTTACAATTTGTTGTAATTCATGAGTCTACATAGTTCACTAAAGCAGAGAAACAGATTCTATAGTTGTGAATCTATATAATATATAACACAGACCATTAGTGCCACACTATGTTATAATCCAATATCATGATTCTTCCATAAAAGCATCAGCAACAGATCATCAGTTTTTCTGCATAGATTCAATATCTATTTGCTTTGTAGCACATTCATTTTATATGAAGAATATTTTTGATTACATAACTACTCTTTTGCAAACAGATTGTATTAACAATATCGTTTTGGATCAACTACACCATAGATTGCCCTCTACTGGCATTATGGGCAAATTACAAGATTTATATCTTGTTTAAGGCATGGAGTGGGGTCACTGAGAGATGTAATACACATTTCTTGGCTGCTTCTGTGCTTACACTTGATATATGTCTTAATATATGTATTTTTTGCTAATGAACAATAAAGCAATAAATTGCTTCAGTGTTGTAACTTTGTGTTTTGCATGTTTTTGCATGAAGGGGTACGAATACTAATATTCTCATTAGTCTTGGTACAGCACAACAATAATATATTTATTTATAATGTTTATATTATTTATAATAATAACAATAATAATGAAAACATTCATACTTTTGTTAACATTCTGACCTGTGTGGTATCATTTTGAGGGACAGAAGCAGTATTGAGGAATATATCCAGGCTATATACAGATTTGCATATTTTTTCCTGTGATTACGAGTTTAACTTCTTGTCTTAAGTTATCTTGAGTTATTTATTACCACAACAAAAAAACAAACTGTTTTCTCAAGAAAACAACATAATTAATTTGAGATCTCACAAAATTATAAGACCTTTTTATTACAGTCATTGTTGTCTTTAGGGAAGTTTTTTTTAATGAACATTGATACAAAGCAGCATAACACAACAATAATAATCATAATAATCTCTCTCAATAACAATCTCAAACGATCAGAAATCTGTGTGTACATCAATTATTTCTGTGCTGTATGTTATGTGAGTTTACAGTTGTATAGTCTCATGGGGCCAGACCTGATCACATAGTGAAAATACACATCTGGGGACAACTTGTTAAACTTTTGGTGCTGGATTGATGTAAAATCCACCACAAATTAAAGTACAACCCCTTTAAAACCCATCCCAAGTGGGTCCAGATTACAGTCAATAACACAAGCACAACAAGCTGGCTAGCGAAACGCTATCATTAGCTCATGGAACTGTTTTTTTGGTTTGTTTTTTTTTTATTTTTAATGTATCTAATGTGTTCTCTATAGACGCAACACATCCACAAGCTTAACTGGAGGTTTTCAGGAGGACTTTTCAGCCATGCTAACTTACATTACATCCAGGGGCTAACGACTGATTGTTGTTCTTTAGACAATGCTGACAAGCACATTGTCGCCTCCTACTTTGAGCGCTGCTTTCATGAAGCGTTGGATTGGTTTAGAGTTTTCAGTTCAGTTCATTTGTTTGCCCCCCCTCCCCAATAAGTCTACATTTTGGTTATTCCCACATGTTCTTATTACAAGACCACCACTGGCTCCTGAAGACTGACAGCTCTTAAGCAGAATGTCATATATTCCTGACACTGTGATCTTTACAGCACATCTACACACTGAATATTCTTCCATACTTACGATTGAACTAATGGAACACTACATTCAAGAGGACGTGTGTCATTGTGGGATGTTTAACTGCTGTTTTCTCTTGCGTATCTTCCAGTAGCCTGTTTAGATGTGAGAGGGCTTTATTATGAGCAGCTGTATTGGTCAGTTTTCTGTGAAACGAAGTCTCATGCAGGCAAAGCGTTGTCAGGCCATCTATATGTTTAAAAGACAAGGCCTCAAATCTCAGCACAACGCTTTGATATTACTTGATTTCAAATGAATTATGTTATTATCTTGAGAAAAGATCCCTGCCCATTTATGTTAAAGTTATGAGGAGCAGCGTTATTGGAGTAGAAGGCTGTCGGGAGGCAAATCCAAAAGGAATGACTGAAGTTTATTTCTTCTACCAATTTTCCTGAGAATGTCAGTCCAAATGTAAAAGATTGTTCTGTACATTTCAGCCCAGACTGGTTTTTGAATTATACATGGCAACCAATTAGAAAATAGACATTTACATATATCAGTCTTACAGGCAGAGTAAAAAACAAAACAGCCAGATTATTTATAAAGGATAAAGAGTCAAGTAAAAATTATGACTGTTTTTGGTACATAAAAACACAAAAAAAGGAAAAACATACAAGAAAAATGCAAATCATGGCCCCTTTAATGTTTTGTGCTGCACTAAAGAAAAGCAATGCTAGAGCTAAAAAGCATGAAAAGTGCAATCTAGTCTATAAAACTGTATCATAAAATCAAACAGTAACTGGGATGTTGAACAGATGCTCTATGATTACCATATTATTGTGTGAAAAATGAACATTACAGCTTACGATTAAGCTAGACTACAGTGATTTCTTATATACCCTCTTTTATAGTCAACAGCTATAATCAACATGTACTTTATGAATCTACTGGTCTCCTCTGCTTTTGTACTAAATAACAAAACAACAACAAAGATGAAGGGGAGGTACTTCCACTTCATTCTGAAAAAAACAGTTAATTTAGTAGTGCTGTTCCTCTGTTTACATTTACCAGACCTCAGCCTGTGTATGTCACCTGGGTCACCTGAGGGCATCTTGGTATGAGCCCGTTCCTTCAGCACATTCCTACAGCAGAGTGTGAATAGGGCCGTCACTTCCTCTCACTCCGCGGAAATGACAGTCACTACAGGTGTGAGAATCTGATCACAGCTCCTGCACCTCGTCCAGCTTGTGTTCCACTATCACATCGTGACCCTGGAATTTGAAGTAGCCCAAGAACTTCTTCTTTTGTAACATCAAAGGGAACCACAGCACATCATCGGCCCACATCTCACTGAAGGGGATTTTGTCAATGTCAAACCACTGAGGCCTCATTTCTAAAACAGAGAAATGTAAAAGATGAGCAGTGTGTCAAAACTATTATCTCAGCTCTAACTGTACAATTTGTGGTAGACTCTGTATTGTAATGCTGTGTTCTGCCGTTGTACCTTCTGATTCAGTGGGCTCGCCGGTGTAGGTGTCAGCTCGGAATATGTGGACATCCATCAGCTCTGTTTCCCCAATAAATTCAAACGTGATGTTTCCAATCTTGTGTAGAATGTCTACAGTAAGACCACTTTCCTCCAGCAGTTCCCTGACAAAAGACATGACATTTGAGTAAATACACTACTCTGCGAAACTTAGGAATCACTTATCATAATAATAATTGCTGACATTTCATTCAATAATAAGTGAAATACCCTTCAATAATGCACTGAAATATCATAAGCTAGATAGTAGAGTCACTATATAAACATTGTTACTGTTGTTATTATTGTTAGTAGTAGCGGTAGTAGTATTTTGTGCATTTAAAAAAATAAGATTCAACGCAATATTGTGAACAGTCAAAAGCAACTAAAAGACCAAATAAATAAGTACATAACATTTTACTCCACTATGCAGACAGTATTAGATTTTATTAACTAAAAAATAAATTAAAAGTTTAATATCCTGTACTTTTCTTGCATTTTATTGTTTTCCCTGTGGTCTACCTGCGACAGCAAAAGCAAAAGAAGATGCAAGTCAATTTTACATGAACATTTTTCCAACTTCCACTTGTCTTATTGTGCCTTTAAAGCACTATTTGGATGGGATAAGATGTACATGGAGAGGTGGGATAATGTAACTTTTTACTGATTTTTTTTTATGGGATTTTAGTCACGTCTGAATGCACCATGTCAGTCATTTTTATGGACTGCGCACTCCATCCATTTCGCGGAATGTAAAAGCTCCTTTTACCTTCCACAAAATGAACCATAGAAATAACCTCAGGTTATCTTAATCCTGTGCAAATATGTCATATTCTGTGAAAAAAAGAAGTATGGAGGCTCAAAAAAGTGCTTGCTTGTGTTCTCCGTGTCTAAAATCAAGCCGATATGTAAGGCCCTACCTCAAGAGTACAACTCTGACGACTAAAACATGTGAACTGCAAACGATAAAACTTAAAGATTACAGAAAAAGTGTTTGATTCTATGCAGTGGCATTGACTGTTGGTTGTGAATTCACGTGTACTACACAGAAAGCAAGGAGCCATTTGCAATTCAGCCTAAGTGATCATGAATTAAGGGAAGCTTGTGTTGAGGCCGTGCCGTGTAATCGATTGTCAAATCAGTAAAGATTCACACCTGTGCATGCTTACAGGCAGTCCAGCAGCGGATTATACTTTAGCAGTGAAAAAGCCAAAGATGTTACTATAAATAATATAAATATAAATAATAGTTTCTCTGTGAAAAATGGTCTCTCTCATCTAGTAAGAGATGTTTAATCCACTGTTTACTCCCGTACTCAGTGTGGCTGCACAGTGAGCTGAAAGTGTGGGGGCTAAAATATGACATATACTGAATACACAGTATATGTAAATACACTGACATCACAAAAACAATACTGTCTGTTTTTGCAGCTCAGTTTATATAGACTGGGAAGAGAGATGTACGTTTTAAAACTTTGACAATGTTTACATACAACATCAAACTGGTTTTAAAAAACAAGGTTTTCCATTTCCATGATATGGGCCCTTTAAACTGAGAAAATTGATCCATGCTTTCTTGTGTAACCCACCGTCTAGCAGCCTGCTCTATGGTCTCTCCTGACTGGACTTTGCCCCCGAAGCCGTTCCATTTGCCCACTCCGAAGCCCCTCTTCTTCATGCCGAGCAGCACCCGCTCGGACTGGACCACCAGCACCAAAGTAAGCAGCTTCCTTGTGAACATCTAATAAAAGGCAGACACTTTCACGTTTACTGACTTCCTTCAGACACTGGCTTCTTAGTCTGTGCGTTGTTATAAACTGCGTGAAATGTTGGGTTAACTTTATTCCAAAACATTACTCTCTATTTTCATATTCACCATTTACTATAACTTAGACGGCAGATAATTTTCGCGTCCCAAACCACACACTTCTGTACCTCACCTACTTCACTAATGAGTGCACTTGTAATGGTATATGCGATATTTTTACACACTATTTAGTGTGTTAGTGTGCAGTTTGGGACGCGAAAATGTCTCCGCAGAAATTAAACCTATTAATTTACTTTAAAGCTGCATTCAAAACCGAACACTACCACATTAAATAATATATTAAAGATATAAAGTAGACCACCAACAAAAGTCCATTCATTAGTGTAGTATGTGGTTTTGAACACAGCTCATTTCTCTACCACCTAGCGTGAGCCACATCTACAAGAATTCGTACCTAAGCAGTCTGTACATAGTGAATTATGAAAATAATCTCTCAAACAATTCGCTTACTTGTACTGAGAACGAATACAGGCGTATTGTCAGCAAGTATTAAAACCGTTAAATGTTGAAGTAAAATATGGTCCAAAGAAATAAACCAGCAGCTACAGTTTCATTCCCGCGTGTTCTTGGACAATCACGTGACATGAGTAGCGCTTGCGGGCACTGTAGATTTCCATAATATAAGGATTGACGTCACGTAAAAACAATCGGTTCTATGAACGGCAGCTTCTCTTTACAGATCTGCGCAGAAATGTTGTGGGGTGTTACATTCAAATAAACCCGACCGGAATTATTATTGGAATTAATCAAAATGAGAATGAAATGTTGACAGAATTTTGTTGACCGTTTCAGATGGTACAGCGACATCAAAAATACGACAAACATAATCTTTTCTTAGCATAACGTTCTGATATATGAAATAAGGGCTGTGTGGAGCCCTCAATATGCAGTCCTGTAGATTTTGACACCGGAGGCATTTTACAGGCTGCACTAGAAGTTTGGCATGTTCGTGTGTTTGAGGTTTCAGTCTGTAGTTGTTCGGGATATTCGGGCTATTTTCGGTTCGACGCCGCTCCATTTCTGTAAAACATGTGGAAATGTCTGTCTCTGCCAAAATCCCGTTTTCACATCTCAGCCACGGCGCTGAAAAAGGTACCGCTGAAGCTGAAAGGAAAGAGCGGCGCTGAGCAGCGGTGGCTCGTCAGACAGCTCGGTGATCCTTTCGTGAAAGCCGCTCATTCCCAAAACTACCGCTGCAGGAGCGCCTTCAAATTACTGGAGATCGATGACAAGTACGATGTGCTGAGACCTGGTCTCAGCGTTATAGACTGCGGAGCTGCGCCTGGAGCGTGGAGCCAAGTAGCAGTGCAAAGAGTCAATTCAGCAGGGGAGAGTAAGTCTCTTGAATTTGGGAGTTTTTTAAGCTTTCGGTGCCTCTTCTTTGAGCTTTCATCACCAAAAGATAAAATGGAGGGTTTTGCACCCATGTTTAAATTCAGTAACCAAGTATTGGCCCATATTTTATATTTTGCTTTTATTTTATTCATTGTTATTTATTTATTTGTTGTGTTCAACAGTCATAAGTCATTTTTACATGGCCATTTCCAGCCTTTCATTATTAAATGAAATTAGAAATAAACTATTAAACAAGGCTGAAACAGTTCTTATAAATGAATGGGTGTCTCTAAACTATCCTAGGCTGTATATGCAGACACACACACACACACACACACACACACACATATATATATATATATATATATATATATATATATATATATATATATATGTATGTGTGTGTGTGTGTGTGTATATATGTGTGTATATTTATATATATAAATAAATGTATCACTGCTGTCAGAACCTTGTATCTCCATTTGTTTTTCAGTTTTGGACATAATTTCAAAATGTATGTTGTGCTTTACATTGTGTGTAAATTGCATGATGACTGGACCAAAAGATATTACTTGAAAAGATGTCTGGTTCCTTTGATTTTCATTAAAGCTTCTTCTGTAAAGTTACCATTCTGGAGATACAAGGTTTTGTTCTGACAGCAGCTGTATATATGTATATATATATATATATATATATATATATATACATGTGTGTGTGTGTGTGTGTGTGTGTGTGTGTGTGTGTGTGTATATATATATATATATATATGTATGTATGTATGTATGTATGTATGTATGTATGTGTGTGTGTGTGTGTGTGTGTGTGTGTGTGTGTATGTACACTTACTCTTTCAGTGTAAGGGAAGAGATTTTATTCCAAGCAATTTTTGAGTATTTCTGTTTGTCATGAAATTGTCACAGAATATGAAGAACACCTGCTTTGCTCAAATGATGTACAAATGTTAAAATCGGTACATGTTTTTCTTTAAACAGTGACGATATGCATTGTACGGACTGGGGGATGAGTGATATGTTATGAAACCTTAACACTGTTTACATACTGTATCAAACGTGTTGATAAGGCTGTAGGTTGTTTATTTGTAACCAGTTTAGATTCACTGACAGCCAGTGTTAGTCACCATTTAAAAAGTGGTCAGTAATCAAAATTGGTACATCACAACAGAGTAGACATCAAGTTTGTATGCGAGCTGTTCTGTCAAGATAAAAAGTCTAGCTTGTGTTACTGTCTTCAGCTGAAAATCGAGACATAACAGAGTGTGCCGATAGAGAGGTAGGCCAATAAAGAGCACAAACTATGGGTGTAATGTCACCACTTACACACTTTCAGTAGTGATGGTTAATAAGACACAATTGAGCTGTAAGCACACTGGTTCATCGGTTCCATTCTCACAATGCACACCATCTGTCCAGAGTCGTTTGGATCTCCAGACGGTCTGCAAATGGTAGCTTTTAAAGAGCAAATCCCACCTACTCTAAACCAACATCAAAACACCTACATAATGGAGAATGAACTGTTATTTGTAATGCATTTAGAATAAAGCTACTCTGCTCTCCTCCAGTGGCAACACATTATCTGTTGCTGTTAAAAAAAGTGACAAGACAACATAATTATATGTCACGAGTCAATAAAATGTAAGCAGTTTACTACAATGAGTAATTGCAATGACAAAGTAATACATTTAAAGACACTTAGGAACACTGACAGTATCCCCATTTCGACACGAGGCCAAGTAGCAGACAGACAGTAACATCTCTAGACATTCAAAGAGTCAAAAGAAAGACTTAGAAGTACCCTGACAGACTCTAACAGTCAACTTACATCAGAGGTCAAAGGTTAGTTTCTATTTATTGTGCTAGCTTAGAGGGTTTATGTTTCACAGTGCAGCTCATTTTAGCTCATGTATTGTGGTTGGTGTCATATATACATATATAAGATGATCTTTAATACATTCTTTATGCATCTAGAGTGAAACACGATTAAAAACTTGCATCACACTTTATTTCGATGGTTCCTTGTAGATGATCTACAGATATTTAATTATTATCAAGCTTTCTGGTGATACTCTGTTAATTATTAACAATATTATGCTTTGGGTCAGGTTTAACCAAGAGGTCAGCAACCAAAATGTAAAGAAGAGCCATTTTGTCCTTTCAACAAAAATCAAACCACCTTGGGAGCCACAACAATTTTTATTTATTATTTTTATATATTATTTTATTGAAGTAATGTTTTACCATCTTGGCTGAAAATATGTCTTAATATGTGCTAGCTTATGTCCTAGTATAGATTAAAAAATATAAATGAAAATGCAGGCTTAATGTTACTTTGCTCTGCGTAAAGGTGTAGCTCAGCTATAGCCACTTTTCTTGCATCTCTGGCAGGAAACTTTTCCTTAAAAGTAAAACAGTTTCTTCTAAATTGTCTCTCAACGTTTGATTTTTTTACCAGGCTGAAGTCAGTTTCTCACTCGCCAGCTTCTTGTACGAATTATCAGCAGAGCTTTATTTTACTGCAAAAGACGATTCTTTTATTTTTACCTAAAAATCTAATTCTGCTGTTGAGCTGCAACAGGGCAGTAAAAGAGCTGCATGTTGCCGACCCCTGGTTTAGCAATAGGTGTAAGTATTGAATTGAAGTTAAGTGTAGCGTTAGGTTTAGACTTAGATTTAATAGAATCCTCACACCTAACTTGAAGTTCAGTTGCATTTAGTAGATATTTAGCTGAATGTTAGCTAAAGACAGACTGAGCATCTACAAAGCATCTGCAATGGACCATCAAATTACCAAATATGGTACTAAAGAGCTTGTGTACCTTGAAAACCTGTACCTTGTAACTAGATGCAGATTACAAATGGGTTTGGGAGAGTCTGACCTCAATAATTAGGACTTTAACCCTCCCAAAGGAAGTAAAAACCATGGATTTGGGGGGGTCCTTAAAAATTACAGTAATTTTAGTATTAAACACTAAAATATATTCCCCAGCAGTGTAAGAAAGACATGTTGTACAGTTTTAAACACAGTGTTCTGTACTAGTTCTTAGCTTTTGTCACTGCCTCAAGCTTGACCCCCTTAATATCAATTCATTGTATAGAGAAAATGGATCTTGGTAAACCGATATGCACTAGGTTAACTACCTCTATCATGGTCACTCACCTTCTCATTCAACACTATTTTTATGTCTTTTCAGTGACAGCCTTTAACACACATGCTATTCCCACTGCAGATTAAATACAACAGGTTCTTTATTTCATAATTGTTATCATAGAACTGACAAGCTAAATTTATCTATGTAGAATTCCACTCATTGAAAAAATAAGAGTACAGCTTGCTTGACAGCTAGGTTGCTAATTGCCGTTTACAGTTCACTGAAGCGCACGTTTGCGTTATGTAGCTAAGAACGCTGCAGCTAGGCCTGCTCAATAAATCGTATTTATTGACAGAACGTGATGACAGAACGAATCAAATTACAATTACCTCACAGCCACGTAATGAGATTGATCAAATGGGTGTCCTTGTTCAGCCATATAGTAGTAAATAGAAATACATTAGTATTTCATTATTTTTATTTTGCACAATAGTAAATGGTGCTTCTGTAACTTGGGATTTTTTGAAGTTTAAAGTTTATTTGTTTAAATGACTGTCACTGTATAATTCGCTCTAAGATAAGATGGCACAGTTCCAGCATTGGGCCAAACATCCTTGATGAGATATCAGAGGGGAAAAAATTCTGTAACAAGTCTAGCCTGAAATTGCACACTTTCACATTGTATGGTGTCCTGTTTTTCAGCCTTCCTGGAGTAATAGAGTATTTGACCAGGTCAGCCTACTTTTAGATTCTCATCCTAAATGAAGAGCTTTAGTTAAAAATAGTCGACTTTAAAGCTTATAAAAAAACAATAAATTGATATTGACCAATACACAAGTTTCAATATTGTTATCAGTTGTGCCCCTCCAATGACCCTTTTTTTGAATTGCCAGTTATTTTGTGTTCTATTTTATTTACTTTTACATTAAAAAGGCAAACTCTGCTTTATTTACGTTTTAGTGACGTCCTTATTTTAAAGCCAAGGCATTAAAAAATGCCATGCTATGCTTATGTAATTTTTACCAAAACGTCACATATATTGTTTTTCATTGCAAGGCCTCAGTTAAGAAATGTTATTGTGGCATCTCTAATTCACAATTTGCTTGAAAGTATACCAAAAGTATTAATAAATACATTATTAAATACAGAGTCGAACCACATTACAGAGGGTTGTGCTTTAATCATGGGATGTGTGGGGGCTGTAAAGCGCTGAGAGCTGCTCGAGCAAATATTAACTTCACTGCACGTAGCTGAGGTAGGTATTCTGATCCTGACTTATTATCAGAAACTGGACATTGACATTGAGAAGCTGAGCAGCTTATTCCTCAGATCATTTTGATGAATTAGTGAGCAGTACAGTGCACTGAAGTGAAGGGGTCAACAGTTATTTTGCATTAACGCTATATATGGGTTTTCTTTTACTTCTGTGAACGCAATATTTGTGAATTCCTATTGACTGTTTATGAATATTGCACAGGCAATAAAACATTTTAACGTTTTATCAACCTATGCACCTGTAGTGAATTGCATATAGTTTCTTCTGATTAGAATTGCAAAAACAATGTATTTTGGGTAAGAACTAGGAGTGCACAATGATATCAGAATCAAATCTGCAGTTATTTGCTTTAAAAAATGATTAGCTTCAGGCAGATGTTTATACTTCACAAATATTTCAAACTGACTTTTGATGATGTTAAGGCAACACTGGGCTGCTACACTAAAATATCTCCATTTTATTCATTTAACTGCATTTGCCCTATAGAAATAAATGTCACATTTTTCACTAATGCTAATCTAGGTGTATCGGCCCACAGTTTCAGTATTCGTGCATGCCCAGTATAAAGACTGAATATTCTAAATCAATGCTTTCATATACACATCCAGTTGTGACTCTATGATGAGATAATGGTTACTGTTTTGCTGTTACAGGGCCAGATTTACCCAGAGGAAGTGTCATAGGAATCGATCTGCTGCACATTGCCCCTCTGGAAGGTGCACACTTCTTGTCCAACCAGGACATCACTGATCCCGCCACTCACGCAGAGCTGCAGAGACTCCTTCCTCAAGCCCATGCTGATGTCATTCTCAGTGACATGGCACCCAACGCCAGTGGGCTCAGAGAGCTAGACCACGAGAGACTAGTGAGCATGTGTCTTTCACTCTTGGAACTGGCTGACAGGGTCCTGAGGCCAGGGGGCTCCCTGGTGTGTAAATACTGGGATGGAGGGCTCACGCATAAGCTCCGGGACGGTCTCACTCGTGCTTTTCGGGACGTGAGGACTGTGAAACCCAAAGCAAGCAGGAAAGATTCAGCAGAGCTTTATTTCTTGGCCAGGACGTTCAGGAAGACATAGTCATTCTTTACATGCTCAAAAATAAAGAGATTCAGATGTACAATTTACAGAACAAGTTCATTTTTTAGACACAGCTACTCAGAAGGTTTTTGCCTGTTCCTTCTATTTTCCATATTGTGGAATAGTAGTAAAACATGGAATTACTTCTACCCAGCACTGTTTAGACCCAGTTTTGTCACAACACAAATGATTGTCTCAAATGTATTAACGAGAACAGACATTCCACTAAATAACTTTTAACAATATACACATAGTAATAACAATGATACGGTGCCTCCAAAAACATTTGGACACTTTTAATCATGTACCAATTGGTAAACCCCGAAGGAGTGATTGGGCCCCTGCTGAAGTCTTTACACCATGCCTTGAAAACTGTCACAAACATGCATTCAGGGTGCACCACTCTTTTTAACAAGAGCCAGTTTCACTAGTGTTGCACAAAGAGGCCACTCAACCAACCATCCACGGTGCCTGATGTGAATGTTTGGCACTTTTTCATAGGTGCTCATCACATCAGTTTGTGCTTAGTATAAAGAACTTATCTACTAATGGACTGGATTGAGTTTACTGGATGTCCGTGTTTGATTTCAGAGCCTTTGATACCTTTGCACACCCTTGATGTAGACTGACCATAGATTGCTTTGCATGCCAAGTTAAACCAGTGTGTACAGCTGAGACTGATCCTTTCTTGGCTAATATATGTATGTATATTTTCCTGCACAGAATTACTTGAAACAAAAGTTGTTTTGGTTCAGTCTTGTTCATGGGTCTATTTCACAGAATGCCGCTACTAGGCAACCACACTGTAGATGATTTTGCTTCAGCCATGAGACGTTTGGGGGCTATAAAGCACTGTGAGCTGCTGGAGCAAATATTAACTTCACAGCACGTAGCTTATAGTGATTCTGATCCTGACTGTTATCATCGGGAACTGGACATTGAAAAGTTGGGCAGCTTATTCCTTGGGTCATTTTGATGAATTAGTGAGCAGCAGTGAAGGGAAGCGGTCAACAGTTCTTGTACTATGTCATTGTTTTGTTGAGGTATTGCTATGGATGTATTTAGTATTCATCCTATTGAAGCATTCTTTGAGAATGCATACCGATGTTATGAATAATGCACATTTAGAGCGTTTTATCGGTGTGTGCAAGGCTGTGCTGAAATTGTGTGTGGCTCCTTTCTTTTTGATAAGAAGTATAAATCCCTGGAGGCCTTTGGGTGAAAACACTAGCTAGGTTGAGGCAGTGGCTGCCTGTGCCTGTGATGTGGAGTTTGTTTGGGCAGCAACTGGCTGCATTCCCTGGGGAAAAGGACTGAACAGTGGGACTATTTCCCCCTCACAGAGTAAAGATTAGTGCTACTGACCTCATATATTGAGGAAAACTTAAAGGACTTGGAATCGGAGATGACTAAACTGAGCTAAAGGCAAAACTATGCTCAGAAATTAGCATACCCCAAAACACAGTTATGCTTGTCTGCTAATAAACTGGCTTTTGGCATGAATAACTTACAAAACTGAGCTCATTGTGTTTGTAGGTATTCAGCCTACCAGCGGATGGAGCTGTTGAGTTGTCTGAATGGAAAAAAGGAATGCATAGGATTTGAATGGTGTACCGACTATGAGGTCATTTTGAAATACATAAATACAGCACCATGCAAGCATTCATTGTGAACACATACTGACAGTTTATGAACAATGCACATTTAAATCATTTTATCACCCCTAGACTGGGCTGAAATTGCATTCAGATCCCTCTTTTTGATGGAGCTCTTGGGCTATCAGTAGGGAAAAGCATGGAATCTGAATGGGAAAACAGCTTTGAACACTCCTGTACAGTGGATCTACAGTTAAATGTACACAGAATACTATGAATATATTTTATTTCCAGCCTAGGACCAAGCCCTTAATGCCATGTGTTTGAATAGTTGCTCTATTCAAATCTCTTGGATCTTGAAACATGTAGTAATGCTCTGTATCACCAGCTAACTATCAGTGTTCCATATTTGATAACTGCATTCATTCTGTGTCTCCCTAATAGGAATGCTAAATTGTTTGCAGGTTGAAACGCAGATAATCTGTTTTGCCAGTCGTGTAGAAATGTGCAATCATTCTCTCATTATGAGCTCATGAGCAGGAAAGTGGATGGATAAGTGAGCCATAGACAGCATGACTAATGAGAAGGCTTTGTCCCTGAAGCAGCGCATTTCCAGAAATATTACGGCATTTCTCTCAACCTGGTCTTAACCTTAAGGTTAAGCGGCCCAGCTGTCAATGATAAGACGCAGGAATTCCATAGAGATCTGTTATATTAAAAGGACGCTCCTGCCAAAATGAAAAATGTAATCATCACTACATCTGTTGTAAACATGCCTACTCATATCCTACAGCCGTGCTGCAGCAGTCTCCACAGCGAGATTTTCAGGGTTAAAGACTAGGAAAACCCCTTCTGATGATGTTTCTTGAAGCTGGGAGGAATTTTCGAGAAACTAGAAGTGCTCGAATGTTAGCACTGGTGTTTGTGCCTTCATTAAAAACAAAGGTTTCAAATTTTTGGACACTGTGCAATGCAACACATCCATTGTATGGTGTCTTACTGCTATAAAGCCAAATACAATGTCTTTATTTATTAGTTGCTACAGTGGCTATGCTATTTTTTTTATTGCTAATTCTAAGTGATACTATGATATATGTGTGCAATGCATGCTTGGCAGGGCTGGCTCTAGCCTTTTGGGGGTCCTAAGAGGGATTTTTGGGGGCACCTTAACTTGCTAGCTGTTGTACTGTAAAATTAGGCGCTAACTAATAACAGTGACTACCACAAGCTGACAAAATGATGTAAATTTATAACTGACTAATTTGTGTATTGCTGATGATTGAAGTTCTAATAGGTTACAGTTAAATTTCAGATGATTTTCTCAGTACTCTCGATTCAGAAGACTGACTCACGACGCAGAACTTCTTGCTGACCCAGCTAACATTAAAAATAGTCTATCAAGCTAACCATTCTGGTGGCAGGGTCAACAAATGTTTTACTTTCTACATATTTTGGTAGCATGATTACTTTTTCTTTCCTTGGTGACTCCTCCGTGTGTTTCATGCGATTGGCTGTTTATCATAAATGTTATGCTTATATGTGCACAAGCATAAGGATTAATCACAGCCTGAGTATCTGAACCTGGATTAACAGAGAAGGTTGTTAACCGCTGTTGTCAAACGAGTTAACCGTGTTTGTGTTTGTTAGGTTTTGTGAAGCTGAAACTCAGTCAGAAAGCTTGTCTGAGTTGAATCTTCTTCATTAGACAGACTCTAGATCTGGCATAACACTAGTGCTACAAAAAACATACCTAAATCTTGAAGCCATTTCTCCTCATCTTCTAATTTTCTTCTTCATATTTCTATTCCAGTTGCATATGTTCTTTTTTGAGACTAACTACTTGCTTTTTTCTCCCTCACTCCAGCGTCTTGAACAGCATAATAGCGCAGTAATAATCCAGAAGTTGTTGGGAGGTCTTCTGGCATCCATGGGGTCCTAAGCAACTGCTTATGCTGCTTACTAGGCAGAGTCATCACTGGGTATTGTGGTGAGACAACATTTACGAAAACAAAAACTGATACGGGCTGAGTTTGGGCAAACCTATGAGGCTAAAGGAAGCAATGCTGTGCTGAAGAATATTACACAGTAAAGATGGTTTGTCAATTGAACTTCAGTTCAAAATATATCATGTGGTAAGAAGCTGTTTAACTGGTTTAAGTCAATAAAGCAATGCAAAGCAAAATAAATGGTTTAGATCAGTGTTTCCAGGTTCTTGTCCTGGTGGTCCACTGTCCTGCACATTTTAGTACTTTTCCTGCTCCAACACACCCATTTCAACTGAGTAAGGGGTCATTAATGAGCTGATAAGTTGAATTAGGTGTGCTGAAGCAGGGAAAACACTCAAATCTGCAGGGCAGTGGGACTCCAGAAGCACAGTAAGGAAACACTGGGTTAGATGTACAAAATTTTACATCAATCCAAATGTCAAAAACACTTAAAATCAACCTCATAACATGACAAAGAACATATCAAATGCTAATTTTAGGCCAGATTCACAGATCTAGTATATTAAAACAGTGATAAGTGTTTTTTTTTTTGGTTAGTTATTCTTGCTGGATATCGCTAGACTTGCTATGTTATAGAGATGAATGGGATTTGAAAGCATTAGAAGGCAAATCTGCTTGAAGTCAAGCTTGCTGTAGGCTTAAGCTCACGGAATCTTAAACAGAAGGAATCAAACATAACTGAAATACAGCCTGGAAACAGTCCTGGCTTGTGGGCATGTTTGATTCCAACAGTGAATGTACAGTATGAAGAGTCCAGCATCGTGCCTCTGCTGATAGTTCAGTAGACTGTTTTAGTTTTACATTTTATCCATGTTCATCATGTTTTCCAATCAGGAAAACGTTGCGTCAGAGTGGCTCAGACACTTTTCCGTTAAAGAAACAACACAAATTCAAGCATTTGCACATAGTTATGAAATAGCATACATTTGTAAGACTGATTCTTATATACCATGAGAAAAAATGACAATGGATCTCATTCACCAATGACAAGAAATTTCTTCTTATAACCCACTTACGTAGTTTTCACAAAGATTCTGACATTCACCAGTGTTTTCTTATTTGGGATTTGTTCTTAGGTGAGAACAGAATCTACAGACACTCAAGAGCACAAAGGTGTGAACAATTCTGTGGTCTGAGAACTCGTCATGAACCTGACGTAGACCTTTTCTTAGGACCTTTCTCAAGAACACATTTAAATGAAAACATGGGAAGATGTTGGTGAACACAAATTTTAATATGTTTCTTTAATTACTCATTTGCTTAATTATTTAATTACTTATTTACTCAATTATAACCAGAATTTTCCATGTGCTTTATTTCTTTCCCCTGATCCATTTCTAACTTTTGTTTGAGTTTATGTACCAAAACAGTCATAATTCATTGTTACATGACCATTTACAATTAAACAGACTGTTTTTGTGACCGTGCTTTTAAGCCTGATGTATGTAAATGACCTCTATCCTGATTGGCTATCCTGTATTGTGCCTAATTTGAAAAAGCAGTCTGGGCTGAAACACTACTTATAACTTCAGCATGAACGGGCGGAGCTAAACTGCTGTAGACTGAATGGGCAGATAAATGTGTTGTTTTTTATGACATCAGTCAGTTTACAATGGGAAAATGAGGTTTTCCATTACATGGGCCCTTTAAAATGTACATTATTGACAAATCGTCAGAGATTACTCTCCATAATTTGTTATTGTTCAGTTCAGACCAAAATCTTAATACTCGATTAATCAAAAATTAAACGAACTAGTCAATTACTAATAAAATCAATAGTAACACCTCTAAAAATGGAGGGTTTTAGGCAAGGTATTCTATTGCTGTTCAAAAGCCCTTTAAAAGGTGACTGTATAATGTAAATGACTGTTGCATTAAAAAGAAGTCTCACTAAGCACGACAGCTCCTGCCTGCAGAGCCATCTCTAATAACAAATAATGTAATTGAGCTCATTATATGATAATTTATCTTGATTATCAGGGGTCGAGTTATAATGACCTTGACGTTAAGACTGTTCTTGCTCTCTCTTTTTTGTCTCTTCTCTCAGCTTCATCATGTAGTAGAGTCTCCCCAGTGATCTTCTTGAACTTAGTCATGCATAAATTTTAGGTGTCTGGCTTCATTAAAACAGCCTGATGTCTTACATCTTCAGAGATGGTTCTGGAGATGATCCAGGTCTGAGCTGAGGAGCAAACTTTTCTCACAGTTGATGGCAAAGTGCCTCAGCGCCCTGCGATATAAAACTTGGCACAAAGATTTTTTATCACTCTAGTCATGTGTGCCCTGTAAGTTGCTTCCAGACTGGAGATGGATCTGAGTAGATATATGCATACATACACTTTAGACATTATTATGCACTGTATTGAAAGGATTTTTGAGTAATCCAAAAATAGATGACTCCAGTAAAAGCTGTTGTTATGATGCTTTAAATGAATGATAATACAGATGAAAAATAATGGCAAAAATCGTGGTAAAAATTCATTAATACTAGTTCATCTTGTTGGTATAACAAATCTCTCTTTATAAAAAGGTTTAGTTGTGGTGCATAGTGGCATAGTCTAAAACAGTGGGTAATACTATGACTAGCTGTTAACGGGACTAGCCTAGCCAGCATTTAGCAACATAACTAAACCACTTTACTATCTTTGAGTGTAATTCGCTTAAAATATGATCTTGGACATGCTTGATTTAGTATAGCAGTATCTTCCAGTAATCCCTAAGTTATTGTTAATATGGCTCAGTTTTTCTTAATATTCTTGCTCACAACTAGAAGAGCCTGGGTTCGATTCCCCGGCCAGGCGACCAGGGTCATTTCTGTGTGGAATTTGCATGTTCTCCCCTTGTCTGCATGGGTTTCCTCCCACAGTCCGAAGACATTCAGTCAGGCCAGTTGAAGATGCTAAATTGCTCCTAGGTGTGAGGAAGGTAGATCTTCAAGACCAGCATTGGTGACCACTGTTTTAATGGCATAATATGGTGAATATGATCAGTCTGGTAAGGTCTGATTTCAGACTGCCTTAATCTTGCACTGCTCCTTTTGAATCTGCATAATGATGATATCATATTCATACAAGATATGTGCTTTCCTAATATCTTTTACTGATACTAGTGTCTATGTGTCAGTGCTACCTCAAGATGGTTGAAGAGGCCTCAGGGTCACTGTGTTCTGATGAAGATAAACACTTACAGACTGCACTGAGGCACAAAATTACCTCTCAGACGGAACTAGATAGAGTATTATATTACAGCTTGAAGCAGAAATCACAAGTATAATCACACAAACGGGAAAAACGAGGACAGCTACCTCATTATTTACTGCAGCATTTATGCTATGATGTCCATACACTGAGCTGAGGCCTGCTACATACAATAGCAGCCTGTGAGGTAGGATGTGTATATAAATAGTGTTAGAAAGTTATACAGTTGTTGGCAACACTAAATTAATCTGAGGTAAACATATGTCACATGACACGGTTTCATCATTGTGGTTACAGTCTGTAAAAGTGCACAATCAAGCTTTTCCTCCACCCAGCGATCAGGTTGTGCAAAAACACTGCATCTGAACAAAAGTCCTCAATGGTCGAATTTTATTCAATTAATCAGCTGCTCAGACTAAGCCTGAATACACTTTACATGAATAAATGCCCTTCAAATTACCACAGAGCTAATATCCTTGTTGAAATCTGATTAGAACCTAAAATTGAGCTTTTTGAAGTCTGATTATCCCATGAAATGGAATTTTTAAACCTAATTACGGGTGAATTTGCATGCGTTTGTGACACGACTGAAAGAGATAGTTCACTTAACATTTTAATGAAAATCTGCTTATGCAGCATCTGATGGCTTTTCTGTCACTGTGCTGATGTGATAACTGTATCTATGGGCCACTCTCCAACCCAAGTTCACATAAAACAACCACTGGCTTTTTCTTATTGGCTAAACCACACAATAAAGTGCTAATAAGTCAAGTTCAATATATTAACTCATACCGATCATTTCT